TATTTGAACAAACAATAAAGGAGAACTTCCCCAATCTGGCAAAGGAAATAGATTTCCAGGAAGTCCAGGAAGCTCAGAGAGTCCCAAAGAAGTTGGACCCAAGGAGAAACACACCAAGGCACATCATAATTACATTACCCAAAATTTAAATTGAGGAGAAAATTCTAGAAGCAGCAAAAGAAAAGGAGAGAGTTATCTATAAAGGAGTTCCCATAAGACTGTCAGCTGATTTCTCAAAAGAGATCTTACAGGCAAGAAGGGGTTGGAAAGAAGTATTCCAAGTCATGAAAGACAAGGACCTACATCCAAGATTATCCAGCAAAGCTTTCATTTAGAATGGAAGGGCAGAAAAAGTACTTCTTAGATAAGGCCAAGTTAAAGGAGTTCATCATCGCCAAGCCCTTATTATATGAAATGTTAAAGGGATTTATCTAAGAAAAAGAAGATAAAAAATATGAACTGTAAAATGACAGTAAACTCACAATCACTAACAACCACACCTAAAACAAAAGCAAACTGAGCAAACAACTAGAACAGGAACAGAAACACAGGAATGCAGATCACATGGAGGGTTATCAACAGGGGAGTGGGAGGGGGAGAGGGGAGAAAAGGTACAGAGAATAAGTAGCATAGATGGTAAGTAGAAAATAGACAGGGGGAGGGTAAGAATAGCATGGGAAATATAGAAACCAAAGAACTTATACATGCGACCCATGTACATGAACTAAAGCAGGGGAATGTGGGTGTGAAGGGGTGTGCAGGGTGGAGCAGAGTGAAGTGGGGAATGGGACAACTGTAATAGCATAATATTTAAAAAATAAAAAATTAAAACATAGAAATTTATAAAAAAAAGCTTAGGATCCAATTTGTTCAATGACCATTGCCTGGTCAGCAGAATAAACGTCAGCAGAAAAAAAATTCAGTCATTTTATTCATCACATTTTTTTTATCAAATAACTTTTCTTGGCCTACCCCTAGGTTTAGACCTATAAAAATCTTAAAACTTTGTGATTTAACAAAAACATTGGAAGTCAATGCCCTTTTAGAACAAACACTTTCTGGAGTGATACTTTGGATGAGACTACAATATTGATAATATGTCAAAGCCATTCTCTTCACTTGTGCATATTATACTGAAAATGGCAGGTTTGACATCAAACATCTGCTTGTGAATTCATTAGCTAAACTGTTATAAACAAGCCACATTTACTTATTTTTCCTTAAAAGTGGAAATTCAAAACACAGTATAAGCAGTAATGTGTTTTCCTGTACCTCTTTCTAAACCTTTTATATGTCTTTGGTATGCAGAGAGGAAAAAGGGATTTTACTTATTTGTTAGGTAACCTAGTAGTTGGATTGCATTTAGGATGTCTTTTAAATCATAAATACATGCATACTTTTATTTATTTTATTATTCTTTTTTGGGAGTTACTACAATCTCTTGAAATTACATCATAAAATCTAATGTATAAAGGAAGATTAAGACTTTATCTGGTTTTAGTGTTAACCTTTTCATTTTTAGTTTTTTTTAATCTTTCTCTGTTCCTAAGACGGTGGAAAACATTGCATTAAGGTCTTTGGCTCTTTCTTATTCTTTAAAAGGAGTAACTAGTCCTCAAGTTTCTCTCTACAAACTACTTTCAGTATTCTTTTCTCATTTTACTAACCAAACTCCAGTTTTCTTGTCTGTTCATGACAACGAAGTCTAAATACCAAGTTCCCCAATCCCAATCTCTCTTATACAAGATCTGCAGGTAGCGTCAGCCCCTCCAACCTCAAACACAAGCCAAAGTCATCTGCTCTCTCCCCATACTCCAATATTTCTACTGCTAGCCATCCCCCCAGCCACACGGATCTAAGATTTAGCTGTCTTCACTTCTCATAGCTTCTACAGCTTTACTACTCAAAATATCCAATGATCAGCAGAGTAGCATGCATCAGCATTCCCTGGAAGTTCATTAGAAATGCAGAATTTCAGTCCCTACCCCAGCTGTACTGAACCAGAACCTGCATTTTAGCAAGTTTCCCAGGTGATTCATCAATACCTGAACAGCTGCTCTTTTAAAAGAAAGGGACCATCTAAACCATCATGGTTTAGTATATGGTGGGTACTCAGGTCCTTGTTCAGTATCTGCCTATGTATATAACTGTTTCACTTGAATATTGACATACCCCCCTTGTCTTCTATGTGTTCTTTTTGCAGCTCTCTTCTTTGTCATCCATTCCTCCTTCCCTACTGATCATCTCCATCAACATATATGTCCTGCAGTTGGTTTCTTAGTAGTCATCAAGAGAAACCAACAAACTGGACTGATCTGAGCAGGAGGACTTCATTTTAAGGACAGTGGAGTTGGTAACACTATCTCAGAATCTGCTGTTAGCACTGTAGACAGTATTGCCCCCACAACCTCAAGCTTACTACAGCCACTGCTACACCAGAGTTTCTCCAGACCCCCACTTGCTTCCATCCTACTTCCAGACTGTTCATCCGAGTGGGTGCATTTGAACGGTGAAGCCCCCCTCTTGTGCCCACACCCTACCTGATAGGGAAACTGGGAAAGTGAGGATCTGGTATTTTCAGCTTCTACAATAGAAAAAAAGTGTCTGCCTCCCACCAAGAATCATAATTTCATCATTCATAAATGAGGGAATTTTAGGAATTCCTAATTTAGGAAATTGTAGGAATCCCCTAATAATAAAAGGACTCAGTCCTGGCCAGTGTGGCTCAATTGGTTGCAGCATCATCCATTGACCAAAAGGTCATCGTTCTATTCTCAGTCAGGGAACAGTCCTGGGTTTCAGGTTCAGGCCCCGATCAGGAGCATATATGAGAGGCAACCAATCAATGTTTCTCTCACATCAATGTCTGTCTGTCTGTCTGTCTGCCTGTCTCTCTCTCTCCTGCACACTCACATCACTATCTATCTCTATCTCTCTCTGTCTAGGATCAATAGATACATTCTCAAGTGAGGATTAAAAGAAAAACTTAAAAATAAAATAAAAATAGCCAGACCAGTGTGGCTCAGTTGGTTAGGCATAGTTCCACAAAGCAAAATGTTGCCTGATCCATTCCTGCTCCAGTCACATATCTGGGTGGCAGGTTTGCTCCCCAGTCAGAGCATGTACTAGAGGCAGCTGATGGATGTTTCTCTGTCACATTAATGTTTTTCTCCCTCTCTTTCTCCCTCCTTTCCTCTCTCTCTATAAATAAATAAATAAATAAAGTTTAGATGTTACTGAGGCCCCCCAAAATAACATATGTCCACCACACTCAAGTATCTTATCTTTAAAAAATAGTCACTTTTTCCTTTTCTCCCTTTTAGTGAAATTCTTAAAGGAGGTTGTCCACACTTGTTTTTATTTTCTCATATCCTGTTCACTCTCATGCCAAACCAATCTAGTTTATGTCCTCCAAAACCATTATATTTCCTGAATTCAGTGCACACTTTTCAGTTCTCATCTAGTCTGGCCTTTCAACGCAATGGATATTCTGGCTTCCACCATCTCCTGGAATTTCTCCCTTCTTTCTGATTGCTTCCCCTCAACTTCCTTACTGGCTCTCCCTCTGCTCATTCTCTGTGTATTTACTTTTATAGCTCTGTCCCTACCTTTCTTCTTTAACTCCATTCACTCCCTAAGTGTAATCATTCTATCCCAATCCTCTTCCTGCCTTAAAAATTCTTAGAATTCTTCAATCTGATAATTTCTGCCTTTAGAAAAGTATCTATAGGCTAGTGACCTGTTTGCTGAGCTCTATAGAACTTTGCATTTCTAATTGCCTACTTCCCACTTCTACTTGTATATTTAACTAACATACACTTTAATTTTAATATGCCCAAAAGACGACTCTTAATTTCCTTACTAAGTGCTTCCTTACGAAGCTTCTCCAACTTCAATAGAAGGTTTCATCATTCACCCCGTGTTTAAGCCAAAAACCTAAAAATCATCCTTAATTTATTTTTGTCAAACTCTCATATCTCATTTATCCACAAGTTCTGTATTTTCTATCTCCAACCTGCATCCCAAACTCATTTACAGCTCTCCACTCCCTGCAAGTACCACCCATGTCCAAGCCGTGATCACCTCTTGTTCATAACCATGTTCCCAAACAACTGGCCTATTCTTCCTCTCCAACCTCATTTCAAAGTGCGGTCCCCTATTACCCACACAACTCTGACTCCATTGGTTTCCTTCCTATTCCTCAAATAAGCCTGGCTCTTTGCCATCCCAAGATTTTGCTTTACTTTCTTCTCCCTGGAATACTAAATCTCACTCCATTTTAGCCCATGTCTTATTCCACCTTATCCTTCCAGACCCACTCCCCTCAATTTTTACCTTGTCTGTAGTAGCCCACCACTTACCTTATCACATCATTTTATTTACTTTTACTTTACAAAATATTTAAAATATTCTTTAATTATCTTATTTGCCTATTTCTAGTATAGAGTATTTCTCCCCAACTAAAAGATAAGCTTGATCAAAGAGGAGACTGTTTTTTTAATGCATGACTGTGCCACTTGAACTAAAAAAAGGAATGTCTAATGCACAGTACACAGTCAATAAATATTTGTTGAATAATTGAATGAATAACTAAGTGAATAACTAGCGTCAAATTCCATTGAGATTCCCTAACCTTTTCATTTCTGCCAAAATGATTCATCCTGAGTCATCAGTGATAACTTGATAGCTAGTTATCCACACCAAGTTTTCTTACTTTATTTAGTTTTCATTATGCCAGGAGTTATTAATCATTTTCTTTGATAATGATGATGATGATGATGATGCTTTGCGAAACTAATGGGAAAAGCAAAGGCAATAATGCTGATATTTTCAGAATACATCCCTGATGTGGTCAGTATCTAAGCAAATGATGTCCACCCATCAGTCATTTCTTTACTTCCTGCAATTGAATCTTCCTGGAGGAGTCATCAGATCCTCTCACTCTTGAAGACTGACAAGAAACCCCTGTGGACTCCCTAACTCTACCGAAGTGTGAAGGAGGGGTCCTTGACACCAAGATTTTAAAAGCCTCACTTTCAGAGTGAGCTTGGAAAGCTCACAGGTAAAGTTATATTTGTTGCAGGTTCTGGAAAGCAGCAGACCATGAAGGTAAGTAAAGGCTGAATTTACTTAAGACTTTTTAACTATTTTACAAAAGCTTTACAGCTTTTGCCTATTGTATGTTTAATAAGTATTTTAGAGGATATTTAAACAATATGCCTTAAAATATTAGAATCATTTGATATTAGTAAAAAAGCCACTTATGCAATTCGTCATTTGGGTTAATTAATGAATGTAAATTTCTAAATGATTTCTTTAAGAAGAGAACTCTTCTGAATTTAACTAAAAGGCAGACTGGGGAATGGGGAACCCCATACTGGATGTTAAAAGAGAACATAGCACAAAGTAACGGGTTGGAAGTGTCCGGGCGTCAGGAAAGGAAGCACCAGGTCCTCCAGGCACAGAAATGACTGTCTTCGATCGATGGTTTCTTGCAGGGACTCAGAAGTCTGGCGGCAACAACCTTGGCTCTTTTCCTGGTGTTTTCTTTCATGGGAAATTCCAGTAGTGCACCCCAGGTACACACACACACACACACACACATACACACACACACAAATCGATGCTCCTGAATGTTTTCTTCTTCCCCCTCTTTTCTTTCTTTCCCTCCCTTTCTTTATTTTCTGTTTCTTTCCTATCCTTCCCTCTCTTTCTTGTTTTTAATAGAGGGCTGGGTTGCAATGTCTTGTTAACTGTTTCTCTCTTCTCCCGGGGTTCTAGAGACTCTTGGAGAGAAGGAACTGGACTCCTCAAGCTATGCTTTACCTGAAGGGTGCACGTACGTGTGGAATACTCTGCTCCTCTTACACAGCAATAAAGGAAGGTCCTTGGGGGCACACGAGTCCATCTCACAGATGGAGAGCTGCGGGAGGGAGTAATATCATTTGTTTCCTTCAATAATCGCGGAAAAAGCCACCCAGGTCTTAGTTAATCAATGGAAAGGGGCGGTGGCAGAAAAAGGCGGGGGGGGGGCGAGTAGGACCTGGAGGGAGGGGGCGTCGCGGGTGGAAGAGGAAGTCTCTGGAAGTCTCTGGAATCCGCCGTCCTCCGGGGGGTGGGGGTGCTTGCTCTGGCCACAAAGGGCGGCCCTGGGGTTGCCTGGGGAACACCGCACCGGCTGGTTAACCCGACCACTGCTCCCACGTCCACTCGAGGTGTCAGGAAGGGCCTCGAGGGGCGGGGAGGGGCGCGTGGAGCCATCCTCCGGTCCCTTAGGGCTGAGCCGTGGGTTGCGCCCCGAGCGCCCGAAACCCCGCAGCGCAGCGCCGGCCGCCGTGTCCCCGCTTCCTGGCGCGGATGCCGCAAGGCGGGGGGCGGCTGCGGTTTATCTCGGATCCTCCGGAGACTGGCGGGCGCTGAGCCGCGTGTGTCGCCTTTGCAGAGGGGCGCCGCTTCATCTCCCACCAGAGTGGGAGGAAGGACCTCTCGGACCGGCCGCCGCAGGGTAAGTGACCGGGGAGCGAGGGGGCCAGCCAGGCCGGTGCAGTGGAGGAGGACTCGGCGCGCTCTGCCCGCCGCGGCAGGAACGCGTCTCACCCCCGCGCCGGGCGCCGCGCGGGGCCGCCCCGAGAGCTTGCCCAGGCCAAGCCGAGTTGGCAGAGCGCCCGAGCTGGGGATCACGACGCCCCCCCGCCCCCGACCCCCGACCAAAGGTGGCAGAGGCTCCGAGGCTGGGGCTGCGACCCCACAAGCTTGATTTGGTCGGAGGTGCTGAAAATGGCCCTCTGGCTCCGGGGCGTGCACAAGTCCCGGGGCAGTGGTTCAGCTCCGAGGGGTAAGGAGGGGGAGGCAGAACTACCGCAGCCCCCGAAACGTGCCACTCCGTTATGACAGGACCTTCCCACAGTTTCCTCGGGAACACTGTTTATTAAGATAATGATTCACCTAGAAACTTCAAACGTGTGCCTCTTATATTACTAGAAAAAGCTATCAGAATGTTCCAAACCAGAAAGAGTTGATAAATGGAGGCCATCCAGGATGGTAACAGGGACTGAAACTTTCCGTGACACTGGATTATAAAAGTACAATTCATTTTTATGAAATTTAAAGATTGAAATGCTAAAAATAAAAAGCATACCTATTTTCAAAAATACCAAACTCTGTGTTCAGCACATAGTAGATGCTTAGCAAATATTCGTTTACCTTCTTCAAGATTGCAGTGTGATTAACCTGATTCACTTTGCAAGGGTAAGCAATGCTTCTCCACTTCAGTTGCTCTCGAATTAAAAATCATGGTTTGTGTTGAAGCAGGATGTTTTGTCTTCTGTCAACTTAGATTTGAAATAATCTTGTATATATTTAGCAGATACTCCTTCCGTCAAATAATTGCCTTACGTGTGGCCACGAATGTATATTATCTCAAACTGTTTGGGAAGGAATGAGAGCAAAGGTTGTCCAGGCTCCAGACTGAATCACATCCAAACCTTTCTGCCCAGACAGCCGATATTAAGCTCTGAAGGGGGAAATTTTTTGTGGGCTCTTTATCTTAATCCTCTTTGCCTTTATGAAATTCTGTGTTGTATGTAGCTTAAATTCTCTTCCATACCCTGTAATACATAACAACCAATTTTAAGTAACGTCCAAAGGAAATCTGAAATGTTTCAATTTATAAAAATGTCTTCTGGAACTCTTTGCTAAGGCATCAAAAATCTATTTCTTGGAGGTTTTTCTAGTATTATAACATAATGGGAAGTGATTTACCAAAGTGAATATTTATTTATTTATTTACTTACTTACTTATTTATAAAAGATTTTATTTATTTTTAGAGCGGAAGGGAAGGAGAAATGGAGGGAAACATCAGTGTGGGGTTGCCTCTTGAGTGCCCCCTACTGGGGATCTGGCTCACAACCTAGGCATGCGCCCTGACTGGGCACAGAATTGGTGACCCTTGTTTCACAGGCTTGCACTCAATCCACTGAGCTACACCAGCCAGGGCTCAATATGAATATTTAAATACTAATAGGATCTGTATACATTTTTGTTTCTCCAGAAAGGCGAAGTCCAAATGCCCTACTTCTAACTCTTCCAGAGGCAGCAGCTCTGCTGTTGGCTTCCTTGCAGAAGCCACAAAAAGGTACAAACATAGTGACCTCTTTTAACAGTGGGACATAGAAGCTTTGATAACTTTTGGAATTCTGTGTTGAGTACAACGAAGTTGCCTTTATTTGTTCAGGTTTTTAAAAATAATTAACAGTTGCCCCTACCCCAGAAATTTATAGAATGTTGATTGTTTCAAGACCAGTATATTTTTCATTAAAGTGAGTCCTAAGAACATAGAAACATTTCCTTGATGAGACTGGAGAATTTCATATGAATTCCACAATCCACAGTCTGTTGTAACCTTTATTTCTCTTAGAATTGAAAAAGTTCAGAGTCCAAATTCATTATTTTATCGTTGAAAACGTCAGGCCAAAAAAGGTTTAAATAATCACAAATCCAGTTGCTCACTGTAAAAGAGAATTCTAAATGAAATTGCTGAAAATCAGCCCCCCCCTTTTTTTTTACTTACAAACACAACAGGTTCATATTGCTTACCCTAATAGATATAGGCCAGTTCTGATCCTAAGTCCGTGTACTTTTCACTACACTGGACAGCTTCTTCTATGCCAGGATTAGGTGCAACCTTCAAATAGAGGCACTCTGTCCATGTAGTATTAAAACTGCCATTTAAATTAGTGCATCTGATAATGGATTAGCGAGCACTTTTGAAGTCCATAACAGTACTTGGTTCAAATTCTGGCTCTGCTGCTTTACCAGCTGGGTGACCCTGAGCCTTAGTATCAGTTGGTAAAATGGAATAATGTCCATGTGCAGGGTAGCTAAGAGCCTAGTGAAAAAGGTATATACGTTTTATTGCTATTAAAAATAGAGGTCATTGAAGCATAATAAACAGACCTAGACTTTCCCCTTTTAAAAAGTGTAATGATGCCATATCCATGACATAATTCAAATGTTAAAATATATGAAAAACACAGTGAATAGTCTGGTGTGCACAGCACAGGCTGCTGGCCCAGGGCTCTGACACTTGTGCTAGTGGAGAAAACACACATGTTCGGTGCCTAGTATCGGACTGACCATGTGGGAAGGGGCGTTTCTGGCTTCAGGCTTATGGTTTTGCTGTGAAAAAATACCTATTAGGATAAGAAGCAAATGCAGAAGTCGGATAAGTGTTCTGAACCTAGAGCATGGCCTGAGCTGACTTGCACAAGTAGCAGGAATTATAATACTTAATTCAGCAAATATGCATTTATGTCTGCTGGGTGCCAGGCTCTGTGATGGGCAGGGAGGAAGGCAGATTAAGCGAAAGCAGGAATGAGAGTGGCCTTTGCAGGGAAAAGAAGGGGTGAACAGCCAGTGGAGTAGCAGATTGTAAGAGCAGTGGTCATGATAGAGCTATGATGGTGAGTATTTCTGCTACCTCTGGCGAATAATTATAGAGGGCTTACTAAAATGCCGTGGGTCGGGCACTGTTCTGAGCACTAGATGTGGATGAACACAGTTAATCCTCACTGTAACTCAGGGACGTAAGCACTGTTGTTGTCCACACTTTACAGGTAAGGAATTAAGAGGCACAGAAACAGTAGGTCATTTGCCCACTGTCGTGAACAGGTACCTACTGGACCTGGGGTGAAGGACAGAAGGTAACTTATTCTCTGAGAATCAGTAAGATGCCTTCTGGATTTTCAGCAGAGAGAGGACGTGGTGAAGCAACACGAGTCTGTTTATGGCATCCAGGGTGATGATAAGAGCAATAACAACAGCTACAACATGGGAACATCTACTATGGATCAGACCTTAATCTTTTTTATTAATTTTTTAATTTTTCAACTACAAGTTATAATCAATATTATTCTATATTAGTTTCAGGGGTACAGTATAGGAGTTCAACAATCATGTACTTTACATAGTGGTCCCCCGATATTGCCAGTACCCACCTGGCCCCATACATAGTTATTACAATAGATTTGACTCTATTTCCTATGCTCTGCTTTACATCCCCATGACTTTTGTAACTGCCAATCTGTATTCCTTAATCCCTTCACTTCTTTCACCTGTCCCCCAAACTCTCCCCTTTGACAGTCATCAGTCTGTTCTCTGTGTCTATGAGTCTGTTTCTATTTTGTTTTTCATTTATTTTGTTCATTAGACTCCACGTGTAAATGAAATTATGTGGTTATCTATCAGACATTCATCTTTCCAGATTAGAGCTATTTTTTACAGCTCAGCAAACTGAACCTGCTGGAGGTATATCTACTTTCCTAAAGACACACAGGAAGAAGTGATACTGGGATTTTAGCTCAGGTCCGTGTGGCCCTGTAGCTCAGTTATGCTCTGCGCCCTCTCAAGCGGATGGTGTTGAAGAGGAAAGGCTGGGGAGGGGAGTCAGTAAGGAACTAAGGAAGTAACGTGGGAGTAAAATGACGAGGCCAAGTCAAGAGGGATGGATGGAGAGGCTTCACTCTGAGGGGTCCTACAAGGAACAATAGATAATACGGGATAACTATTCACTAAGGGTTTAAAAGAGAATCTGGAGATAAGCAAATTTTTTTAGCATGTGTGTGAGAGTTTAAAATGGTGATGTTGATAGGAATGAAAATTTCTGTGGGTGTAATTAAGGTTCAGTGTGAGATGAAAGAGACATTCCAGTGAGTGAAGGTGTATCAGTCAGTGGTTTTCTGCTATCTGACTATGTACTGGCTGCATCAGAGTTAACCGGAGTGCTTCCTGAAAATTCAGATTTCTTGGCTTGAGGCCCAAAGATTTTGATTCTGTACTACTTGAATGAGGACCTGGAATCTATATCCATAATAAGTTCCCCAAATTACTCAGATGATCAGTGCTTAGGAACAACTGGAAAATGAGAACCAGTTAATCAAGGTTGAAATTGTGAAAATGGAAATCCCTCTGAGGTTTTCGCAGTAGTGGGAGAAGGGCAGATAATAAAGGATTTGCCTTGGAGAATGCCCAGAGATCAAGGGGAAAAGGGGAACATTGTAACAGTGGAGGGACATTAAGAGAAGGAGGCAGGAATGTAGCAGGAGAAGCAGAGTAACAGAATATCTAGAAGTCCAGGATGGAAAGTTTCAACAAAGGAGGGATTAGAGGCATCAAATATAGCAGAATGGTTTTTAAGAATACCGCCATCAAGGGGAGAAGAAGATTGTGTTGCCTGGGAGGGGTCATCAAACAGAGAGCCAGTTCCCACAACATACTTCTGCTCCGGACCTGCCCAGGGATTCAATTTGCTGCTGCCCCATACCTTGTGAAACCTTATTTCCAGAGAATTTGGGATAAGAGGGTAAACTGCAGAGCAAGGAGAAAGCAGGTACTAGCTGTCATGGCTTTCAGGACTCTTGCAGTAAAAAGATGAAAAATAGATAACTGTAGAGTATGCTGCATCTAAGGTGATCTCTGAATTCAGTATTTGGCACACTCACTGACAGTGAAGTTTTTTAGGTTTGGTTGCCGGGAAGATTTGCAGAACCAGAAAGGTAAGTGAGCTAGAATAAAAAAGGAAGAAGCTTATTTTAACAAGGAGGACAGGATCTGCATTAGAAATGTAAGGGAAGAAGGTATGATTATAGGTCCCCATTTCAAGTCTTTCTTGGAAAATGCATATATATATTTAAAATATGCATATAAATGCTTCCAGAGTGGCTTGTCTCTGATAATGAAATGAGGAAACAAAAAAAATTTTTTAAGATTTTATTTATTTTTAGAGTGGGAAGGGAGGGAGAAAGAGAGAGAGAGAGAGAGAAAAACATCAATGTGCGGTTGCTGGGGGTCATGGCCTGCAACCCAGGCCTGTGCCCTGACTGGGAATCAAACCTGCGACACTTTGGTTCGCAGCATGCACTCAATCCACTGAGCTTCGCCAGCCAGGGTGCAGGAAACAAAATTTTGTCTAAATTGATGGAAAAGTTTTGGGTTCCCATGTGATATATTAATCACTAGTCATCTTCAATATTTTTATTCTAAAGTCCCAAGGTATTACTTGGATGGCTCTTTTCTAAATAGTGGGTTTTTATTACAGTAGGCTATATACAGGGACGCCTTTCTTGTTGAGGTTTTCTTTTTTCTTTTTAAAGAACAGTCTATTATCTCCATTATTTCAAAATATACTGGCAATTCAAGTTAAAATGCAACTCAGGCATTCAAATTATACTGTAACTAAACTGAGAGAATGTGGTTTCATCTGGAAATGATTTTAGAGAAAATTAGAAGAAGCATTCTGCCTCTGGCTACTCCCTCTCCCCTCCCCCCTCCCCCATTGTAGCTTTAGCTCTTCTACCCAATTTTAGAGCACCAGGGCTCCTGGGAGTTACCATCTGACTCCTTAGCTATCCCAGAAGGGATACCTCATGCTCTAAAGTTTTACAATCCTGTCCATCTAACAAGCATCCCTTCTTTCTGCCTCAGTTCCTCCCAGTCCTCTAGCTCATCTAATAAAAGAATATGTGCAAATGTGATCCTGTGTCATCTTCCCCAAGTGAGATGCATTTGAAGTGTAGAGAAAGAACCTAGATGCAAGCCAGTGGTTCTGATGGTGGGTCTTTTAGACCTGAGGGACACTCAGAGAGAGACCTGTGGCCTTTCCGGGTTTCTGTCCAACATACCACACTCCAGTTTCCTTCAGTATGGAGAGTCAGATGTGTAATGTGAGTTCCCCGATATGTCTCAAGCTGAGGAAAAACATATACAACTAAATCAATCATAACCCATTATTTTTTTTGGGGGGGGGGAGTCAGTACCAGAGTGCATGAGTTAACATACCTTAAGAGACTAAATATTTCCTGAGGTCTTCTTCATCTTTTTTAAAAACATGGAAAGTGGGTTGATTTTATGTAATTTTTTTTCTTACAGCTGGAGAAGAGAACTTTGATCAAACCAGATTCCTGGATGACAGTCTGCTAAACTGGTGAAAATACACCAAATTGCATCCAGTTACAGTTCTACTCTTGTTGAAGACATGAACCTTGTGGATAAAACCCATGGACCCTTTTTACTTCATTTGCAGTCTTAGAAATATGCACAACTTGGTAGTTTTATTCTTCTACAAACAAAAGTTAGGTAGAGCTCTTAGCTGAGGATATCATCACTTTTTTTAAAATATTCAGGTCCTGTTTAGATCATCTTCTGTCTTACTTGTGAATTTTTGTTCACATTTACAATTATAAGACTGAAGACTCTCTGTAGTGTTCTTTTTGTTACAACAAATAGCCATCTCCATCTAATGGTTTGGTTAGTTGTTGGGTTTCTCATTCTGTCACCCACTTGTCACTCAGCAGGGAATCTCCTCTTTTTCCCACCTCCAAGGATGGTGAGGGGGGAAGCGTTGTCGCAGGATGAAAAAAAGTAGTGTGATTCACCTAGCAGTCCATTCAGGAGAAGTAAGCTGTTATGAAGGGAGGGGGCATGGGGGGCAGGCAGGGAAGCATCCCTGGGACTGGAAGATTCCAGTGCAACAGCTGAGAGAGGGCTCTTTGGTGAGGCTGGAGCAGGTTGTGGGTTCCACAGCTTGGATCTCCCCCTTGTGCTCTCTGGGATCTCCATGAATTCAGTTAGAAACAGGGAACTAAAAGTTACTGGCAAAGAAGCAAACGAGACACACTCTGATCTTCTGTACATTGTATGGAAAGAACAAACCGGTTCTGTAGAGGTAACTCATTTTCCATGGCTAAACAGACTCAAAGACTGCTTGCTCTAATTGACTAGAACTCTAGGCTTTATGTGACATCAAAACATTACATAAAGGCACTCTGGTAATATAAGTGCATGGAAATATGACTAATTTGCTTCTTTTTAAAGTCATCTTGGGTTCATTACTATCTGAAAAATATATACACACACATATACCTATTGTACAACAAGCATGTAATATATTTATTTGTAATTACAATATAAACATCATGTTCATTGTCTTAATTGAAAGTTGTTACTGATAAATGTCATAAGCAGAAAGTATTATTAATTCTTACTGTCATCAGTATATAGCCATTATTCAGTAGCTAAACAATATCCTGATGTGAAATGTCTCTGCAACTCAGAATTAAAATTTTACTGTGTTAAGTAATCAAAACCCTGCTTATATGGTTTGTCTGTATCTTATTTCATAGTTGAATAATGAAGTTATATTCAAGTTAATGTGACATTGATCTCTGCCCCAAAATATGCTAGCATTAAAAAATCTATGTGGCATTATAATAGGCATCTGTCATTTATTATGATTTGATTTTAAAGTGCATTTTCTAGACAGTGCATATACCCAGTTTATTGATATTTATTTACTCATCTGACATAGACTTGTACATACTATTCATTTAAACATCATGTTTATTCCCAGAACACTGTTAAAATCTATCTTGTAAAGTAATTCTTCCAACAGTGAACTAGAACAATCTCAAGTGTTTTCCTCTAAAACAGTGTTTTAAAAAGCTGTCTAAATGGCCAGTAGCCATTAAAATAATATCAGCTTCATGTATTATAAGTACTTGAATTCCTTGAGTGCTTTTCAGCTGCACTGATGTGCTGATTAACACAGCCATCGCACAGCGGCTCCTGTGCCCAGTTTGCCGTGACTTCCTACCTCTCTCTTAGAGTCTCTTCGCAATTCTCTTTAGTTCTACCTCTTTCAATGCTGAAATGAACAAATGATCAGTGACCAAAATTTTTCACATGGTATGGCTTGGATTTTCAAACTGGGAAATTATCTGCCTCCCAGGCATATCCATGTACTAGAACATTCCCACCTCCGGATTGGACTCGCAGCCACTTTTACACAGTTCTCATTGCTCTTCCCCTCTTTGCCACTGTATATACATATTCCCCAGGCTGGGCTCTCAATTACGCTTTGTTTCCCTGGGTTCCCCAGAGGGAACACCTCCTCTCCTCCCACACCACCAGTGTAATCGTGAGACAGATAAGAAGGCAGAGAGGTCTGTACATCAAAAGCCACATTTCTTTACCTGGTTCTGAGAAATAAAAGTCTGTGTCCTTTCAACCTTGAGTTACATTATTTTACTTTGGCTCCAGGAGAAAGGGGACCTGGGAATGTAACCTGTTGGTCTCCTTTTTCTGGAGTATAAGTTCCTTCAGGAAGAGGTCATTTCTAATTTGGCTTGATCCTTAAAACCACTCTGTGAAGAAAAAGTTAGGCTCATCCTATGAAGTCTCTTTGACTCTCCCCAGGGTACACTTGAACACTTCCTTTTCTTAGTCCTCTTTGTGCCCTGGAAAACTTAGTGTCACACTGTTTCTCCCAATAAGACCATTTACTTATGCATCTACTGTGTATTAGACACAGAATCATCTAACAATCCTGATTGCTGCTACTCACTGGGCTTTGTCAATATTGGGCTAAGGGCAATAAGTGACGGGGAAAAGAGGGTGGAATCACGTGGCTGCAGCTGTCTGAATAGAGGACCTACTGCAGGGTAGAAGCTCTGACTCCTACACATGCCACTCAAAACCAGGTGTTTGCAGGTCTGTCAATTTCCACGTGTACTAGCATTTATACTCATTTCTAATCAGAGGATTATTCTACTTTTTTTAAAAAGTACTTGATGACTTTTAAAGTTTTATATTAAGAAGTTATTCTATTATATAGCTCATGTTTTCAATAAGTGACCCAACCAATTACCAATTAAGAGTATCATTTGAAAACATACAGCGTGCCACTTTCCCAGGGATACATTTTTTTCTGGTTGTTCTAATAGCGAAACTCCTTTTTATCATTAGATCTCTCTGGTACTTCAGCAAAAGAGTGTTTGTACTGTAGCACAAATCCATCTCATACCGTTTCTGATCTTTGGCACAGACCTTTCCAAATGGCCCTGCAGACACTGGGTTCATTGGCATCCATGGGGCATGGTTCAAGGCTTGGGCTTTCGGTCATTGATTTCCCTTCTTCCTGAACCTCTGCATGAGGTGAGCTTGCAGCCATCTCCCATTTTGGCCTGATGTTTGTGCCCACCATTCTCCTGCATTTCCCCTAACAGCAGGGCAGCAGGAAACCTGGTTACAGTTCTGAGCTGGTCTCGAACCATCTGACACACCACCATTGTCGCTCTTCCCTTGTTGCCATCAACAGCACCGTGCTGAGAAGACCAGAACATTTCTAGAGCCTCTGTTGACCTAGACCAGCTGACATGCCAATGAAGGTGTTTGCTGTGATCTAAATAATACTCAGTAATAATTCTCAGTTGTGAAAAAGACAATCCAAGACTGAGTGTGAATTTGTTTTGCTTTGTTTTTGCCAGTTAAGATTTAATTACATTCAAAACATGCTTAAATACAGTCATTCAACAGTGTCTCCAAGCATATGATGAATGTGTTAGAGAGACTGTCCTTATTATAAAGTTGATTCTAAATTTTCTTTTTGATGCTTTTTTAAATACATTTTTAAAATTTTGTCCTTTATAAGGCTCTATTACGTAGCAGGTGCTTTATGTACCAGGTGCTGTATGTGTTATCTTACTTAAATGTCAAAGAACTTTAAACAAGACATCAATGAAAGTTAAATCTTTAAATATTGATATATTTATTAATTTGGATTTAAAAATTTATCATCTGTGGCTAACTGACCAAGTTTTCAAATAGGTTTTCCTTTTAAACAATAAAAATATGTTATGATGAGAAGTCACAGCACAAATTAGAGAAGTGATCTTGTAAATATGCGGGAATATGCATCAAGATCTGGATTTAGGATAGCTGTTTTATCATGTATTTTGGTTATCAGCAAAGCTAGATATGAATTGTTTCTGACTCATGTGAAAAGTGAAAATAATCATTAAAGACTGAGTTTTTTAAAATAGGTAGGCATGGAAACTTCATGGCTAAGAACAGGATCTTTTCGGGGGGGAAATGGGAGACTTGTTTGGTAGGTATAGAAGCTGTATAAATACTAAACAAAGGATTATGGTGATGATAATTTGAAAAACACTAGTAAACAAAAATTGTTATTGCTTAAATTAACCATTTTAAAAACACTTCCAGTCTTCCTCATTTAATACACTATTCCTCATGCCTAAATTTACTAAAGGAAAAGGAATTGAAAATAACTTGGATTTTCAGTTATAACATTGTTACTGACTTAATTTCTACTTTGAAGCAGAGAATAAATCCCATTGTGATTCTTAGAAGAAGAAAATGAAATTTTCTGAGCTGAACTGAACAAGTGAGGAGTTCAGTTCTTATATTCACCATGTAGCTTTTTCTTCCCATAAGGTACATGACCCAGAGAAAATGGTGACTTAATATTTAACCGATCCCTTTCGGCCTCCTCTTCCTCATCATATCTGTCATCTTCGCCTTCATCTTCCACATCACTGCTCTGAGGACTGGATACCTGAGACCCCGAAGGAGAAGGTGGTACTGAGGAAGGCCTGGGATATTTAAATCCCTCTGTCTGCCAAAGACAAAATGAGACATAAACATTATAACAACTTCTTAATTTTCCAGTATGTAAACATTTTGCATGCACATTTTATTACAAAAAAAAACATAGCTGGATATTTCCTGTGGTTTCTTCAGGGGCTACTAATTTTGGTTTGTTTTGATTCTGGTACCAACAAGCTCAAGAGAGATTCATTAAATAAATAACTTTATTTTATTAACATTGACATGTGCCAGGTCCTACCTATATGTTTTCTTACTTAATCTTTGTAACCACATTGCAATAAATTTGCTTTTTCTCATTTACAGAAGAAAATCAAGGGTTAGAGAGGCCAAATGACTTGCCCAAGGTCATAAAACATGTATGTGGTAGAGCAGAGATTTGTTCCAGGGTGATGATCACTCTAGAACCTTCCATGTCAACTGTGGTGTTACTCTGCTAACAGTGTCGGTTTCCGTCATCCTTTCGATTTGCTCAGTGAAACTGCAGGACGTGGCCAGCCTGGACATGCCATGGACACCCACCATCACAAAGCATCCTAGAAACTGACTGGGCCACTGAGCTAGCCCTGAAATCCCACCAGCTATTTTTATTTCAGTTAATGAGCAAAGGTCACTAGCATTTAATCCAATTGCCTTCTGCCTAAGATTCACTGAGATAACTCATTTTATAAACAATACTAAGCACCAAACACAGGTCAGGCACAATAATGGCACTGAAGGGGCAGATGAGAAACACAATTCCTGCCCTCCAGGGATGCTCGTGCTTGAATGAGCTCCCCATTTCTTGGGGAGAAATGTGTATGAAATTGTCACAGTGCTTGTCAATGTACTTAAACTACTTTTACCCATTATATTATGTCATACTTGTAGAGTCATTTCAAGGTTCACACACTCTACCTGAAAGTAACACAGAAAAAAAAAATGTCGAGTCCTGCACTTAGGACTTGGCTCAGAGGAGACACTCCATACTCAGTGGCTGAATATGCAGGCTAACGAAGATTAATTATCTTCACCTGGAGCATCCACCTCTAAAAATGCTAAGCAATGAACTCTGTTAAAATCATGAACACGGCAGTGAAATCTGAGGGATTTACAAAACCCTTTCATTTTCTCTATGGGCAAATTTTACCTTGTGTTCACTTTCTAGGTCTATTCTCCTGGACACTTGATAAAGGTGGAATATAAATTGTATTATCAGGCAAAATTGTTTATGGTAAAAGTGACCCCTGACTGGGAAATTAACATCTGAACTTGGAGGATCTGTACTTTGGGAAAATCCCTGAGTTTGATGAGTCTTGTAATTGGGCATATTCCTGAGAGACCACGGAAGATGTCTGTGGGAATTAACACAAGATACTGGTTCCTGCGAGTCCTAGAAGCTAAGATGGATCTCATACTCAATGTTATGGGTTCTTGCACCTAAGCTACCACCCGATGGTTAGGGGGACAAAGAAGAGTAGCTCCTCGACCACTATGTAGACTGCTGTAAGGACAATCCCACCTCAAAGAGATGTCTGATGCTTCCTTGCTTCTAGCTGTGTTTCCTGTCTTATGTCCTTCTAAGTGAATCTGATGGCAAGCAGTCTATGTTATCCCATTAATATAGTGTAGTTGGATTTCAGAGGACTCCCTGATGGGCACGGCTGAGTGGAACATGAATGCCCATCGTGTCCAACTCCTCCTGTGGTCCTTGGATTCAGTCTAACTCTCACCATGTTGTCACCCTATATTTAAACACTTCCTTGGGTAGAAAATCAACTTCCCGTTAAAGCAGGCTACTTTGTTTTTGAACAGCTTTTAAAAGAATGGATGTCTAATGGAGCGGTTTCAAGCACCAAGTCCGAGAGAGTTTTAGTGTGGAGGTGCTGCTCCGGTGACATGAGTTGGCTGACTGTCTGCCTGTCTTACACACGAGGCCAACTCTGCGTCAAGGGCTGTGAGTTGGTCTGATTTGCCAGTTCCTCTGGTCTTTGCTTTGATGTGACACTGTGAAAACGTGTAACAGTGTACTTGGCTACTTTCAAATTAAAAGGCATTGTTAATAGTTATCATAAGTAATAAATTTAGCTTTCAAAACAAATACACAATACATAAAATATTTACCGTTGGTGGTGATGTGGGTTCCATATGGAATTTATCTGGAAAGGCTCTGCTTAATGTCAGGTGCCTGGCATGCTGATAATACTATGATAGAAGATGAATTCACAAGTTAAAGATTTGTATACTTCAACAACCCAGTTATTACATAAAATATTCTTCTCTTAGTTATAAAATTTATTTTTTTAAAAGTGAGATTCTATTCATCCTATTTTTGAGAATCAGGAAAAAATGATAGTTCATAATTATTATTTTTCAATAAACAGGTAAAGAAATGCTACAAAACATTGGACAGAAAAGCTGCATTGTCCTGAGTGAATTCTGAATTAGTGCTGAGGGCACTGAAAACACCTGTGGGGTTTCATCCCACAGAGAAGCTGTATGGTGTGGGAAAAGAGATGAGGACTGGATAATCAGACAAACAGCAGCAATTTTCCACCAGTTTGCCGTAAAAATTTTTAGAACATGCAATAGCTGACTGTTTAGTCCCAGGCACCAACCTCTTTTCCCTTAAATTGTAAAATGAGAAAAATACCAACAGCCAATACCACAATAGCCATACTTATTTTTTTGATAGATTGGCAAAAAGATACATTTTTTTGATGTGCTGCAGAATTTTAGTAATTACTTTATGTGTGCCATGAGATGAAAGAAATCTCTGCCTAAGACCCTCATCATTCTCCTTTCACTATAATAAGAAGACAGTAAAGGTATTCATCCAGGGTTGCAACGAGCATTAGGATTAGGGTGTGTAGATATGCAGCAAATGGCAGCATCTATCATTTGTCTGGGGAAGTTGAGCAGTGTCTAAGCAGATACATTATGTGAAGGCAAAGTCAGTACATCTTTTATCAGGTAAAGCAGCCAGTGCTATGATATATGAACATTGGGTACTTATAAACCTACTGCATGGAAGAAGGCATTTTCCTTTGCACTTGTCATTTGAAAAGCAGTATTATTCCTGTTATCCACTGTAGCTAAGGGATAAGATCACATGATCTCTTAGAGCAAAACAAAGTAGGGATTTTCCTCTGAATGTTTTCCTCATCTTCCTGAAATATTTCTGCATACTTGTAATGCATCAAGTTAAGCGATGACCATAGAATGACAAAGAATAAGATCAGTGCTAGATCCTGATGGGCTTGCTGTTATGGGCTCAGCCTGAATGTGAAAGACTGGGTTTAAGACTCTGCAAATTCATAATATGTTTTTTAAAAGTACATAAAAAAATCACAGAGATTTTAACAATTACGACTTGACCTGACAAATTATGACTAGCATCAATGTATCTGGGATCCAGTGGGATTCTTTAAGTGGTCCTCTGTGTTGATCACAAATTTACTTACTCTGCCTAAGTATCTCCAGTCCAGAAGATCTGAGAGCCTCTCAGTTCGGTTCCTCTGGATAATTCTTTGGCGGCGTGACTGTTTGCAAAATCCATAGAGAAACTGAGTCAGCTGATTGCAAGAATCATCTGGGGAGCGGAACCGCCTGTCAACAATGTAAATACCTGAAGGGCACAAAAGCCAAAGCACAGGTAAAAAGTAGAGCTCACCTTAGAGCATTTCCTCTCCTATTTCTTAGCTTCTTTGGTAGATCATGTGCGCTGTCTACTCCCCAACTCCCTCTTGCTCCTACTCTATCTTTTCCCATCCAAGGCTGTGCATCTTCTATGATATCCTAACACTATATAAACTCTCACCAGCATACAGCCAACAAAATGGGTCTTGCTTTAAAAAAAATCTGGTGGTATAGGGATACTCTGGATCAATGATTCTTCCTGGGCTGCTCACTTCTGGGGTGACCTGGATGTCAGGACTGTTTAGACTCCCCAGTGTTCCCAATGTGCATCCATGACTGAGAACCACAGCTCTAGCTTGAGGAAAGAGAACAGTGACAATGAGGACCAGGGGGTTGGCAGTGTGTGGGCAGAGAATCCAGCCCACTCGAGCTTCGCTCGCTGCTAGGCAACCAAGAAATGGACCTAGAAATGGTGATATACACATTCTCCTGCCATTTCACACAACTTAAGTGAACTTTGCTAAGTTGGCATGGAGCTTTTAAATAATTATGCTGACCAATATAGTTATTGTAATATCACTTCTAAGACCACAGTTATTGTAATATCACTGTGATATTACATAACTATGTAATATAATAGTTATTGTACTCTCACTGCTAGGTAGTAGAGGAACAAACCAGTTCAGAGGAAAAAAAGGTAAAGGGCAGGTTTATCCAATTTTAACACTTCTTTTGAAGTTTTTTTTCTGTTTCAGTTTTGTTTGTTCATTTCACTCATTTTCTAGTTTGTCTTTTGGGCAATGTATTTAATATTAATAGTATTTTTATTCTTTCTATAGACCACATAATTAAATCTACTTTTTATTACACAAGAGATATCTTCAAACAGGATAGCTTTAGAGTTAGGCTCTGTGAAGACCTTGGGCTCTGTTTGGTTAAATGTCACTTCTCCCTGGGATGGGTTCGTGATGAGAAACCTCACCATATGCAGTAGGATCAGCCACGTGCTCCTGCATAAAACAGCCAAAGCCGGAGAGGTTGGTTGTCACACTGGGGATACCCATCACAGTGCACTCGGCTGCAGGGGAAACAGACAAAGGTTTGGCTTCAAATCAGCTCCAGTGTCCTCTTATGCATTCAGAAAAGAAAAAAGCCCCCCATCTATCCTAGTGATAACACCGTTTACTTTGAGCCAGGCTCAGTATTCAGTTCTTCACATGTATTAGCTCATTTAATCTTTTCAGCAACCGTGTGGTCTGAGGCCTCTATTACTTCCACCTCACAGATGAAGAAATTTAAGACAGATAGGTCAAATGGCTTGGCCAGCTTCACAAAGTCAAGGGCCTGGGAAAGCTGGGATTTGCAGCCAGGGGCCCAGCTGCAGAGCTCTTGTTGGCAACTGCTGCTCTATACTAACTCTATCACTATTGGTTTTGCTTTTCACTCCAATCTCAGCTTATGTTTCTAAGTATTTGGCAAGTTAATGGGATAGGTAAATGTTTTGGCCATGACTAGCTCCTCCCACCATAGAAATCTCCCCTGCACAAACCCCTTCCACTTTCTCACGTGCTCCGGTGAACCCCATGGTCTCAGTCCTCCCTCAGCTTTTAGTCAAAACCTGTTTTTCAGGAAATATCAAATACGTCTCACAAAACATTACCACTTGCAAGGATATCTGTATTTTTAACAAGGAAATTGTACTTGATTGTGGAATAATTCTTGGCTAGTGGGGTTAGGTTTAAAAAAAGAGAGAGAGATTTCCCCATGCCTATGAAGTAACACAGTTTAGACTGTGACCTTTTCTCGTGTTCTGTAATTAACTATTCCCTTTTGGTTTTTCTCTAGAGAGCTGTGATTTCCTAATTTAGGATGGGAGTGGTGTGAGGAGGAGAGGAGAGTAGAATGGGATTATTGATTCATTTGAGAATCTGATAAAAACTACAAAACTCCTCTCTAGAAAAATTCACAGATAGATAGATATGAACAATTTTGGCTACAATTCTATGAAACTTAACAAATTCTTATTTTAAAAATATTCATTAACACACATGTAGTAAAATGCCAGGTATCCATGTAAATTCAGTATATCTTCATTTGGTGAATTTAATGAAATAAATATTCATTGGGCTTTCTAAAAACAAACTTTAATGTATTGTTCTGGAGTGAATTAGAGTTAGTGTTACATAAAAAGGATTATTCTTAAAAAATTAGAGTTATCTAATATGCTAACTTACAGCACCAGAGGTTTCATTATTTCTGTAATTACAGGTTAGGTTAGGAGTAGCCAACTTCCTTGGCTTAATCTAAAACAGAATGACTCATTCACTGTGGAGTATTTCCCCAACTTTTTTGGTCTCATTTTTTAAAAAAACATTTTATTTAGTAGTTATTTTCTTACAGAGAGAGGAAGGGAGGGAGAAATAGAGGGAGAGAAACATCGATTAGTTGCCTCTTGTATGCCCTTGACTGGGGGACTGAACCCACAATCTGGGCATGTGCCCTGACTGGGAATCTAACCGGCAACATTTCACTCTGTGGGGTGCCGCCCAACCAACTGAGCCACACTGGTCAGGGCTCATCTCTTTATGTTTTGTAACACCTTAAGAAACTATATATAATTCCTCTATCATTTCAGATCACATTTAATTTTGTCCTGTAAAATGACATTTTGGTGGAAAGGCTGCCATAAGTTATGTGTCATCCTCCTTACCTGACATAAATGACTTCCCACATTCCTTCTGTCACTTAAGTTTTAGTTTTGTGCTTCTCCACCCAATAGTAAATTATATATCAAATTTGAATACCACATACATATGTATAAAATATAGTTCAAAACATCCTACCATCTATACATGTCACATACCTGGAGTATAACCCCACGGCTCATAGTATGACGGAAATACTCCAAGATGACAACCTCGGACGAACTCTTCGTAATCCATGGGTAACAAGGGGCTGGTGGAAGATAGGAACTCTGGGTGCAAAATCACCTAAAAAAGGAAAATTCTAATTAGAAAAAGAGGAAAGGGGAAATTAAAGCAAAAAAATCTCCTACAATTTGGTTATTTTAATGCTACAGAATCCTTGTGTTCTAGATTCAGGTGTGGGTGGACAGAAGAGATAAAAAAGAAAAAACCTGGGGGCCTTTTCTCCTCTCAGCATTCTATGTAGGCATCTACTCTGCGGACTATCTTTCCCTCAGGTGCCGACGCCTAGATGGGTGGGGATAGGGAGTTTGTGTGCCGTCTTTGCTCTCATGCTAAGCTACATCCTTCGACCCAGACTTTATTGGCAATAATGGCATTTTTTTGTTTTTTCTAGCTGTTTCTATTTCACTGAGGTCTCAACACAACGACCAGAGTGAGCCTTTAAAAGTTCGAGCCACTCCCCTGCTCAAAATCCTACATTGGCCTCTCCGTTCACTCAGAGAAAAAGCCAGTGTTTACCATGGCCCTTATGCAGTGTGTGCTGGTAAAGGTTCAAGAACCAAAAATCAAAAGTATAAATATATATTTGTACCTAAGTTGATTGTAAATTTTACTGGTATAAAGGATATAATTATAACAGACAATTCCCAGTTTAAAAAATATATACACAAAACCTGCGCACAAATGTTTATTATCAAATTTATGTATAATTGTTAAAACTTAGAAGCAACTAAGGTATCCTTAGTAGGTGAATGGATAAATAAGCTATGATACATCCAGATGATGGAATATGAGCTATTGAGCCATGAAAAGGAGGAAACTTAAATGCATATTACTAAGTAAAAGAAACTAATTTGAAAAGGTCATAAACCTTGTTTCCAACTATATGAGAGTGCAGAAAAGGCAAAACTATGGAGACAGGAGGAAGATTGGTGGTTACTAGGGGTTGGAGGTGGGAGAAATAAATAGGACACAGAAGATTTTTAGGACGGTGAACTATTCTGTATGATACTATAGGTGATTACATGTCATTATATAGTTATCAAGACACATAGAAGGTACAACGCCAGCAGTGAACACTAATGTAAACCATGGATCTTTGGTGATAATGGCAAGTCAACATAGGTTCCTCATGACAAACGGATCACTGTGGTGGGGGCTGCCGAGAGTGGGGGAGGTCATGTATGTTTGGGGGAAGGTGATGTATGAGAACTCTCTGTACTTCGTGCTCAATTTTGCTGTGGACCTAAAACTAAAAAATAAAGTCTATTAAACTATAGAATACTCATTATTATAAATTCCATGCCAATTATAACATAATGCTTTTGTTGATTTTTGAGACAATCTTGTACTTATTACTGACTTATGGTTCCAATTGATGACTAAATATAGTTCTAACATAAATGTTGGTTGGTTCCTTTGTTAAGAAGCAAAAGGAAGAGTAAAATACAGACATGTATGTCAGACTTTCACAGGTTTATCAATGACATGAGTGACTTCTTTGCGGAGTTGGATATTTTTGATAATAGAAAAATATTTTCTCATATTTTTGTGTTACAATGTAATCACTACCGACACAACACCCATTTAAATTTAATCTGCATTATTAACATTTCTCTACCACTTCTTTAAATCTATACAATCAATATATAATCATACATGATGTGTAGTGTTCACCTATTTGTACTCCATAAATACTCCAGCATGCCAATTTCAAGCTATCAGTGAGATATCACCAATCTGGAGATAGGAAGGGCAGTAGCATTTATTAGAGAGTATTTTCACCATGTGGGTTCAATAATCATAAATGACCCTAAAGGCAAAGGTAATGGTAAAATGTAGTAAATAAATGATTAGGATGTGATGTGTTTTGACAATTACTGTTCTTTTTACTATAATGAATTTTTACATTTGCAATTTAATTTTAAACAATGTCAATGTATAAAACTAGCTAAAAAAATGTAACAGTTGGCTTTTGTCCACTTATGTCAGCCTGTTCTGGGGCTGCACTGCCTGTAATGTTCTGCTAAGGCAGAGACCAGACTGCATGGCTGTGCCTGGGAAGTTGTCACTAGAATAGCTTCTTCACTGGTCACCTGTGTGAATGAGTTCTCTGCTTCTTCCACTCATTAAAGTTCTCACTGAACTATTATTAGGTTAGCTGTCAGCCTCCCCTCATGTCTAAGTAGTTATTAAAATAAATAAAATGTGATTTTATAGTGCCAGGGTTATTATATATGGTAATATAATATAATATAACATATATTGTATAATATAACCATATAGTTATAATATATAAATAATATAATAAGTAATATAATATACAGTATAATAATATGCTTGATATAAGATATAATGAATATATTATTTTATTTTATCTTTAAAATTTTATTTCATTATTTAATATATATTACTATGTAATATATATATTACACATTATATACATCAGTGCCTTATAATAGAGAGAGAGATCCCTAGTCCCTTACCCCATATGAGGACACAGCAAGAAGTTGCCACCTATGACCCAGGAGGAGGGTCCTCACCAGATTTCAACCATGCTGGCAACTTGATTTTGGACTTCCCAGCTTATAGAATTGTGAGAAATGAATGTCTCTTGTTTATAAGCCACCCATTCCTTCATATTCTGCTAGCAGCCCAAGTGGACTAAGACAATTGCCCTCCAATGAACTCATCTCCCTCCACTGCTACTCCAGCAGTTCACAGGCACTGCCTCACTACACGCTGACTCCACAGCTGGGCTGCTCCCTCTGTGTGCACCTTCCCCACTGTCTGGGCTCAGGCATCTTTCTCTGCACTGTTGTAGCTCATTCCTCCTTCCAGTGCAGACACTTACTTGTGTTTCCCCATCTACTGGCTTTAGGACTGGATTGTTTGGGAGGGGAAAGGAAAAGAGAAAGAGAAAGAGGAAGAGGAAGAGGAAGAGGAAGAAGAAGAAAAAGAAACTTTGTTTTAACAAGCACACTGTACCTTTTATTTTTTATTCACAAAATAAGTATATATTCTTCCAAAGAGACTACTTAATTTGCACACATAACAACAATAGTAATTAGTTTATAATACTTTATATATTATAAATAATTTTCACATATATTGCCCCATTTAATCTTAACAACATTGTGAGATGAATAAAATAAACATTGTCATTGTCCTAATTTTAGAACTAAGGAAACTAAGACTTTATAGGCATTAGTTTCATAACAGCAGATTCATAAATAGGAGATATGTTAAACTTAAGAAGAAATAAAATAATAAATGTCCTCAACCAGTGCCATAAAAATGATTTTCTCGATCACAGGAATGACACATTGGCAAAGTAAAAATGAACAAGATATTTTCCTCTAGAAAGCACGATCTGAATTTCTATTCTGTGCACAGTACCACTCTAGGAAAAGAGACAAAAGGCACAGGTGTGGCTGTCTGGGTGACCATCACATCAACAGCCCATTATACTCTCTGGCAAATATCAAGAAAGGGGGATTTGGAAGGCACTGTGCCTATTGGGCATTTCCACTCTTAGGAAAATTTGTACTCTCCAAAGCCCATTTTGGAACATGAAAACACCACGGCTCATTTGTTTTATTCCCAGACAAACAGAATGAATCAAACAACCAAAATAAAAAGACAGCTGCTCTGGGCCCTAAAACAGCCAACTGAAGAAGCCCAGGGTGGAAGACAGGGTATTAGAGGTCAGCCCAAGGCTACGGGGAGGATTAGATGAGATCCTGCATACAAAAGCCCTTAGCACAGCACCTGGCCCTTAGCAAGCCCTGGATCAGCAGGGACAACAAATGAACAAACACGTGTTTGACTATGTTTATCTGAGGAGGGAAGTAAGTAAGATCCCAGGAAGTGAGTTACTTCCACAGAGTGTCAGCACAGGGTGGAGAACCGCAATCTGCAGGCTAGGCTTTTCTCATTTTAACACACTGCTGACAGAAGATAAATTCAAAGTCAAAATAATCTGCAATGTTGCCTGAATCAAATAGTCCCATTTATATAAAAAATTCATCAATTCACTCTGAAAGCTAAGAACTGCTCTATAGAGTTCTGTAAATATACAGGCAATCAAATAGGACTCATAGCTCTGGGTATATATTGTTAGGAAGGGATTATTCTTTTACTTCTTTTACATGTGTTTGTTTTATAATAATAAATGAATATTTCAAAATGTTTATGAGTTTAACTACATAAATAATTTGCATGAGACAAACTTCCTTCTCCACTCTACAGCAGCCAGGTGCTCCTGCATATGTGTGCCTGTTCACCTGCTTCTCCTGCCGGGTGAGCCTTCCTTCTGGTTATTTGCATGATGGACTGCTCATTAATCTAGATCTAGCTACTATGTCATCTCTTTTTATAAAACATTTTATCAAATTTCTCAGGAAAACACATCTTTGTTCGTCTACTCTCACCCAACCCTGTTCATACCACTCTTCTAAAAGTTATTAAGTATCCACCCTGTGCTGTTACTGGGCTAAGGACAACTAAAAGCTAACCTTTATCATGCATTGGCCACGTGCCATACTGTACCAAATGCAGCATCTATTACTTTTTAAATCCCACAACAGTTCTGTGAATGTGGGCCTCTTTTATTATCATTTTACAGATGAGAAGATTGAGGCATGGCAGGCAGACTAACTAAATTTATAATTAAATAAGTGGCAGAGATTTAAAGCCAGACAGCATAAGTACAGTCTTCAAGGACGGGTATGTTGCCTTCCTTAGAGATGTGGCAGTCCTGAATTTGCTGCTCAGATTTCCTCTAAGACATCCTGGACTTTGGGATCTTGACTGACAGCCCCAACTGCATCCATTCCAGAACCACTACAGCAACTGATCTTGGCCTATAGGACAGGCAGAGATGGATACTAGTGCCAACTCGTGTCTACCCAATGGGTGATACTTTTAATGGGTAAGCTTTGTTTGCGGAATCTCTATCACCATCATAGGGATTTAGTAGAGATTCATGGGAATTCATGTGAATCCCTGTTAAAGGTGTTGCATCCAACTTCTCATAGAATAAGGCAGCCATCTGCTTGCCAACCTGAAACTTTTGGTTGGTGAAAGATACACATAAAACATAAAGAAAAGGCTGTTAAATACAGCAAAATACAGTAACGCCTGTATGTTACTACATACAGGTGTTGTATGTAGTAACACTCATATATTAAAATTAAGTCAACAGCAAACCACAACACACAAAAAGGCATCTTTCACATTAAGAAAAAAAGCATTGTAAAATAATACTGAATTTGTGTTAGCTGTTGAAACTATTTTTTCTTGTTTTTTTGTTTATTTTTGTGCACACATGTGTGCCTGTGTGTGTGTATTTTTCCACTGACAAGCCATGTTGAGTGGTCTTGGTCCACTGCTTTCCCCCCCCTTTTTGAGTCACCAAACAGTGCTGCTATCTGTGCATATTTTTCATGTATTTGTTTATCATTATGAATTCTAGGATTTTTAAAAATTACCTTCGACTTTCCTTTCTAATAAGAGAAAAAAAGCTGAGCCTGTTTTAGAACCAGGCTGTAGTCTGTGGCTCTCCTTACCGCACCCTTCCTTCCTGCCCTCTCCACAGGCTGACCGCACCTCCCTGACTGCTCAGGACTCCCCCTCTTTATCCTCCATGGCATTTCCACCAATAAGCATTTTCATATCTACTCCTGTCCTGGTGTCTGCTTCCCAGAGGATGAAAACAGAAAAAAAATAGGAGACATGATCACTGCCTCAAAGAACTCACAATGTCTCTGGAGAAAGGGACACATTTAAAATTATATATATAATTCAATGTGACCATTCCTACAATGGCAGTAAATATGAAGTGTCTAGGGAAAGCAGATAAGGAAATAATTGTTTAGTCTGGAGTAGATGAGTTATAGTAAGGAAAAGGGCAAGGAAGAGATGCCTTTTAGTTTGGATCCCAGAGGAGTTGTTAGAATGACCAAGATAAGGGTATGTCAGAAAGAGAGAAAAACATTAGCAATGACACAGGGACACGAGGTGTTTAATATGTTCAGGAAATGAGGTTCTTGTCCATTTCTGGAAAATTGCCTTACTGTCATCTTTTTTGGAAAACCTGGATCAGCAAAGCATACTGTGTTCAAAACTTCAAGGGACCTCCAGTCACAGTCTTCCCAAGAGCAAAGGAATCCAGCCTCACCTCTCCTTTTCCTGGCGTCCCACATCCCACTTCCATCCGTATTTATTGTACATAACAAGTGCCAGGCACAGACAATCATCATTGGAAGATCCACAGATGTGGTATGACATAAAAAGTTCTGAGAAAGACAGAAGTCTACAGGAGAATAAGAAGCTTTCTTGTCCACACTATTTCCCTTCCAAGAGACAAAAACATATAAATAAGTAAAATGAGAAGGAGGCCAAGTTACTGTTAATACACTCTGTGATGAGTCTTTGTGGACCCAGGCCCACTGAAAAACGTAAAGGAGGTACATCCTTGGCATTCCTGCATTTCCAGGGAAAATTTTGTAGCCTGACTATTTGTTATAGGAAGTGTGTTAGGTGTTGAAAACTTTTGAAATGCAGAAATATGAATGAAGAAATACAAACCACCTACAATTCTATGGCACAGGGCAATACACACACATATATGCGTGTGCACATTTTATAAATTGCTTGTATCATTTAATGCTGTATTATGAGCTCCTGTTAACTATCAAGAGAATTTCTTCTGCTTGATTTCTACATTTTTCTCTTCTAATTCTCTGCTCTTTCTTTCTTTCCCTGACTTATCTTTTAATCCCCCTCTTAGAGCTTAGGTTTCTCTGAGTCATCATGTCTCTGCACTCACTCAACCTGGTCTTCCAGCGTGGCGGGTGGTCATTCCCTAGTCTCCACTACTGTTTGTGCTCTGATAGCTCCCTTCATGATTATGTTTTCTAAGTGACTATTCAACATCCCAACTCCAATATCTCACACATAACTCAAACTCATTCTATCAAAGCTGAACACGCCCGGGCGGGTGTGGCTCAGTGGGTTGAATGCTGGCCTGCAAGCCAAGAAAGAGCGCCAGTTTGATTCTGGCTCAGGGCCCGAGTTTCAGGTCAGGTCCCTGGTTGGGGGGTGCAAAATGCACCTGATCAATTTTTCTATTCAGTTTTTATATCTTTTTCTCCCTCCCTTCATCATCTCTAAAAAATATACAAAATCTTTTAAAAACTGAACTCAATTCATGACATGACCCTCAAACCAACTTCTGTTCAAGCCTTTCCTTAGTTTTTAGGAAGTATTGGTTAGATACTGAAGCCAAGAGGGCATTATTCTTGCCTTCTTTCTCTTTCTCACTCCTAATGTCCATTGGTCACTAAGTGTGATTTTTTTCTTACATGCAACTGCCTCTTCCCCTGTTTTATCTCTCCAGTGCATCTGATGCGCTTCTGTAAGGGGCCTTCATCATCTCTCACCTGTACTGCTGCAGTTAAGTTTTTATTTTGTCTCCTTCCACTACATTCACCCATGCCTATATTTAGGACTGAGCAAGATAAAAAACTGAATTGAAGAATAGGCTATTTTTTCAAGAAATTTTGTAGAGTGGAAAAGATAGAAACATTCAAGACCATCAAAGGGAGGCAGGGTAAAGGAAAAGTTGTTTGTTTTCTAATGTGGAGAAATTCAAAGAATATATGTAGACAGCAAGGAAAGGAGTTGTCTTTTATTGCCTGCACAGTAAGAGAGAGTAAATGGTGAGTTTCCAAAAAATGTGGGAGGGAATGGGATCCTATAAAAACCCTGAGGTCCTCAAGGAAAAGAAGCAAGAGTAGGCCAGAAATCTAGATTTGAGGCCAGTCTGGAGGGACACTGAAGGAGGTTGTACTCCTTGAATTCTCAGTTAGGTCATCTGCTAATGATAAAAGAAAGAGGGGAAAAGGGGACCTTTGAAAAGATTGGTGAAAGCTTGTGACACACTGATCTTGAATAATGGTGAATAAAATTGAGTAGGATTAAGCAATTATGTGTTGACATGTTCACCGTTGCCAGCCACACCTAGCAAATGCCTGGTATAATGGGCCCTCAGTAAACATCAAAAGTGGCAGGAACCAGGTCTTATGGATACAACTAACACAAGGCCTAGTCATTGTAGAAACTCAAGGGTCAACTTGAATCAGACTATAGAAAATTACATAAAAACATCACTAGCCACATTCTCTAAAACTGGAAGTTTCTCATATTTTACCTTTAAGTTGAACTTAATTAGAAAGAAACAAAAGATGATTTGTGTAATCTCAGGGATGTGTTAATGAAATTATTCTTATAAAAATTTTAAATTATTAAAAATTAGATAATCTTATGTTTACTGACACATTGCACAGTGAAAACAAATGTTAGAATTATGACTCAAAGCCACAGATATTCTTCAGTTCTTAAGAATGATAAAAAAATAGTCATTATGCTCAAATTACCCATGATAGGAGACAAAATTAATTTTCTTTAGAAATATTTAAAATATTTCTGATAGATGTTAAAACAAGTGAGGCTTTAATAAATTATGAGTAAATTTATTCTGTATCATTGTGAAGGGACCTGCATAAACAGCCAGCTCTACCTTGACTCTGTCTGCGCGGTTGTTGAAGAGCCCAATCCGCCTGATGGTGCTGAGGATGGGGTCCGTGGAGTCATCCATCATGTTGTGAGTGGTCACTGGGGGCAAAGACTGTCGCTGAAGTGACAGAGGAAAATGTCAGTTGTGGAAAGAATTAATGTGTGACTAATTTCAACAATAGGTCATCGGCGACAGGTCATCCAACCATTTTGCCTTCAGTCTTTTGAGGTGACACTAATGATAATGACTAAGGTTTGCACGTTTTCGAGGAGGATAATTCCCTCCAATGTGGCAAACCCACATGCAAGGCCAAGATCTCTTGCCTGCTTCTGGGACTCATTTGGAATAAAAGTGTCCTGAAATCTTGACCTGAGATGAGCTACTCTTTCAGATCTTTCCAGTGGGGCTGTCTTCTGGTGCCTGAATCTTCACTAATGACAAAATGATGGTATATGCCTAACACAACACTTACCAAAACAACACTTTGCAATAATGATACAATACCTTGCAGTAATTACACTTGCCTGAGATACATTCACCTTTTGTTTATTGTAACTCAAAATTTTGTTTTTTTATTTAAGTTTTTATTGTCATTGCAATGTACACAGCAATCAGATATTATGTTTCCAAATGAATTTGTGTGTGTGTGTGCCAGCCGAGAAGGCAAACTCAGTCCCCCACGACCACAAATCATGCAGTTGAGTTTTCCACATTTGGGGAAATCACAGGGGTCAGCGCACCCAGAGTGCAATGGGTGAGCCTTGCCCCAGGAAAACCACCTTTGGGACCCTGGTATCCACCCTGCAAAGTAAATGAATTTTTTAAATTATATACAAAGACAAGGTCCATGAGGTTTTTAAAAAGAACCCTGAAAACACTGAATACAAAGTTGTCATTTAGATCAATACATAAGAATGACTTTCTAATTCCTGAGCTGCAAAATTTCTCAGATTAGCCCATTCTGATAAATTAAAATATTGATCTAAATTGGTTTAACAATTACGGGAAGTGGTAGGTACTTTTTTACTACCTGAGTGGAAAAGATGGCTCTTTTCATAATTGTTAGATCATCTCGATCCAAAATATTGTTCATATCAGGAATTTCTCCTCTGTAGGGAAAACAATGTTAATAACAAAAATAAAAACAACTGACAGTAATTCAGTGCTTTCTATGTGTCAGACACCATTCTAAGCACTTAAAAATAAAACTAAATGTAGTTTCCTGATGAGTCTCACAGGCAAATCCCTGTAGTGTGAATAAGTTTGACTTAAAAAACACATTTGATAACATAAAAAAATCAAAATTAACTTTTAAAGCATTCATGTTGACCACCAGGGGGACACTCTCATTATGTTTTGGCTATTCTGAGTATTATGTTCTAAAATGGCCATAACTTGTCCAGCTATAAGTTGATACTTCCATTGATAAAAAGATATAATGCTTAGGAAACAAAATAGCTTTCTTTTCATATAGAAAAATTCATATATTTTAATATTATTATATTATAATACATTTTAATTTATTTTATTATTTAGATTTTATTGTATCTATAAAGGTATATATTTCATTTGTTATTTATTTACTATATTTCATTTTAATTAATATATTAATAAATACATACTAATTTGATATGTCAATATATTTAATGTATCAAGTCACTATATATTTTGATTTAAAAGCTCATGAACTTTTCCTCAGCTTCAGGTTGGCATATTAACTTTGAACAAGATTCTCACTGAATTAGAACCTATCTGCATATATGCATATTAGATGAAGGATAAAAGAAAACCTACTGACATGAGGCAACATATCCTCAAAGGTTATTAGTTTCTTTGTATTTGGGACAAAAATACATTGTAGCATTGAAATTGTTAAGTTTGAATAGTGACACCCCAAATATCTGGCCTGTTAAATGTTTGAAGCACTTACCTTAATAAGGCATCATAGAGTTTCTTTCCAAACCTTTCCTTCACAGAATGGGCAATGTCCCTGTATGGGGAAAAAAAAGATTTATAATTTAAACAGTGTTGCAATTTAAAATCTTTATCTGTCATGAAAATGTTGTTGTTTTGTTGGTGTATTTTTGAAACTACAGGTCTCTTTTGTACAGCTTCTTTTATTATTTTCTTATTTGCCAATTTAGCTTGCATTAAGACCTCCACAGCTAAGGCAGCAGAACACCATGACCAGAGCACAGAGCTTAACATATTTTTTCTTGATAATATTCAGGAAGATGGCTCTCAGGTGGAGGGCTAGGAGGGGGTGTGGATGTAGGCACAGATGTAACAGGATTGGGAATGTGTTGATAATTGTTGAATATGGGCTATGAGCATGTAAGAAGCCATCACACTAATCTCTTTACTTTGTTATGTGTTTTTGTATTTCCACAGTATTTTTTTCTAAAAAATTCAAGCCATCCTTAAAGATTTCTATGGAGGCTTTATCCTTGTATGGTAGTTCTTCCCAAAGTCTTTATAGGAACACATTTGTATAGGCATTGCATGACCTAACATAGTAGCCCAATGAGAAGAGAACCAAAGAGCATTTATGCTATAATAATCTTAAGGAAAAAATAGCTCAGGGATATACATCAGAAATCATGCACATAAAAATAACCCTTTACATTTACTGCTGGAGAACAAGAGGCGAGATTACCATAGCTGTTTTCGCACTGCCTGGCCTTTCAGGGTTTCCACATTGAAATTATTTGTCTTGGCAGGCATGATGAAAAACACCACCACAGTGACGTCACTTTTATGCATCTATGAGGGATCAGAAAACACAACAGAGTCAATGACCACAGATAAAATAAAACGTGTGACAGATGGACCTTAAACTTTGGAAAAAAGTATTTAAAAATATCTTCAGGAAAAAGAATACTTTTTTATGATTCACAGAGAAATTGTACCCATGTTCCTGTGTTTTTTTTTCAGAAAATTTAATTTAAATTGGGCTCTCAATAGATGTTTATTGATTAACAATTTGAAAATTCAAACAAAATATTTTATGGCATCAGTTGTCTAAAATATAAGCAATTAACATTGATAGCACAATCTTTTGATTCACAGTTATATGAGCTAATAAAGGGTCAAAATTCATCTTTAAAATTTCAGATTGGAAACTTAATGATGATTTAGTTTTGGTTTATTCCTTTTTTCTTAGCTTATACACATTGATTTGTACAAAGGATTATTTACATTTTTCTGTCACGTCTTTATTTTTATTTTATTTTTTATTTTTCTGATTTGCATAGGTTATTTATTTAGGGTCAGTTAATTACACATTATGTTGAAAGTATTGTTTTGCATAAATAACTTACACTCAGATGTTCTTATGGAGACCTTCAATGTTTAGAGTAATAGACTTCTAAATAGAAACAACCTCTCTCTTTATTTTTATTTATCTTTTTAAACTTTTTTTAATTGTTGTTCAAGTGCAGTTGTCTCCATTTTCCCCTCACCACTCCCCCCACCCCAGCCATCCCTACCTCCCACCCTCGATCCTACCCCCCTTTGGCTTTGTCCATGTGTCCTTATACTTGTTCCTTGACGACCCTTCCCCTTTCCCCCCGTTATTCCCTTCCCCTCTGGTTATCAGTTTGTTCTTTATTCCAGTATGTGTTCTGTCATATATCTTGATTCTCTTGATATTGCATTTTATTTTTTTAGCCCTAAGGTGAAGAAGCAAGCAGATGCTCAGCCATTTTGCTGTGGCCAATACTGTGCAGTATGCTTTAAATGCATAATTTAACCCAATCCTCGAACTAACCCATCACAATAGATACCACTGTCTTTGATTTACCAAGGTCAAAAGAGAGCCATGGAAGTTCAACACAGGAGTCTCAGCCCTTACAACAGATTACTGTCATAAGGGGTGAGATTCTCACTGGGGTTTTTTGACTCTAAAATCTTTGGGGATTTTTCTTCTTCCCACAAATGCCACTGACCTAGCATCTCTTGGAAGGAAATGACATACATACCAAACAGCCATGAGAATGAAAGTGCAAACTCACTTAAACCATGAACAGATGAATGAATGCTCATGTCTTCTGGAAATGCCTATCTCCTGAGTGTGGGGCATTCTACCACCTGATCTGTGGCCTCTGCCTTCTAGGGCCTGACAATGGATTGAAAAGTCTATGGAAGCCGTAGAATGGGAAACTCACTCCAGGAGTAGCCAATGTGCTCTTAAACAACAAACGTACCATATGGAAAGAGAGTTACATCTTTTCATTTCTCCAGGGACATACCTATCTTTGATGTGTTGAATAATATTAATTGGCTGTTTCTTCACATCTAAGAACAAAGTGAATATTTAATAAGTGTATGGATAAATTGATTAATAATGTCCCTAAACATAATACATATTTGATGGAGTTGTGAGTCCATCTGTAAAGTTTGTTGAATAGGTACATACTAAGGAATGTGATGAAATAAGATTTAAATAACATAGTTTTTTTTTTTAAGGGCTCCAGAATCCATACCAAGCTGACTGGCTGTGGGGCAAGGTCCCCCAGGAAAGCCTGCATATTTCCTAGAAAAACTTTTTTTTGCATTAAAATCTAAATAACAGTTTAATTTTTCAACAACTCAAAACTGGAAACAACCCAAATATCCACAAACAGGTGAATAAATGAACAAAGTGTTATAGCTATAAAATATCATACTTCTCAACAATATAAAAAGAATGAACACATATAAGCACCACTGATGAATCTCAGAATGAATATTCTACATAAGGGTACCCAGGGGAGAAAGAGTAAACACCTTATGAGTTCAATTATATAAGATTCTAGGAAAAATGAACTTATATCTTGTAAAGGAAACAATGTTAAAATAAGATGATTCCAGCTTATTATGGAATAGTCTTTCTGGTCTTCAGTTTTATTTTGCAGACTTGGGTTTTTATCAATGTACGTCTTCCTTATAAATGTGGTTTCTATAAATCTTTTGGCACACTTGCCAAAATGTCTGCTCTAAGGCAAGGATAAATCTATGTCCAGGAAATAAAAATTTAGTTGGGGAGTATTACAGAGCTCAGGAAAGTTTAGACTATCTGAGTACTGTAATAAGATTGAAATTTTACACTGGTTCCCTGTGAGCATTTGACTGTTATTTATTCTACATTGTATGCAATAGGATTGTAATATAAGCCAATAACTTTAATCAATAGCTTGACATGGTACCATTTTTATAGTTGTTTCTATTGGAACAGGTTTAAAAAAATCTTTTTCCTTAATTAGTTGGGGACCTATTTTAAGTCCTGCCTTTCTGAGCAAAAAAATTATTCTACATTGCTGGGAGTGGAGAACGCCTTTCCCTTTCTTCCTGTTTCTATGTGGTGGGTCTATCTGGTTTCATAGTTTGACTCTCAGTCTAGCGGAGGTGGTGTGGCTGTTGAGGTGGGTGAGGAACAGAGTTTGTGTGTGTCTGCCCCTTCTACAGAGGACAGCTGCTCAGTGGTCAACTCATGGTGCATGTTCCTCCGAGGGTCTGCTTCCCTTAGGGGAGGATGGTGATGGCCAGAGCTGCCTGTGATGTCACAGCTAAGTCAACACCAAAGTGTAGCGTCAGGAAGCCTGTTGTTGCCATATGTCCAAGTCACAGATTCCATGGCTAGTCCTTATCAGTTATTGAAAAGGTGAAATTTTGTTCTCTATTTTCTTGATTATATTTATTTTTCAAGTAGTTACAAACTCATTTGGGAATATTATAATGTTGCCTTAAAATAAAGCACATACAATGGGATAAGCTTGTGGTTCTCCTAAAAACATAACTAAGGACATAGACAAATACACAAGTGAACAATGTTGCAAACCCAATTTGTGAATTAAAAGATCAAAGCCATTTTCATACAGTTGTCATTTTAAATCATACATTCTCATGAAAACTAGTTAAGGAGGCTGAAAGTCCTTTACTGCCCACAAAAGAAAGCCTACAAAAGCTTTATGTAGCATCTTAGAGCTTTCTTACCCTCAGCAGAAAATTTAGCCTGGATAAGGACTCTAGGAAGATGTCAGCTCCTTTGTTTGAAAACTCATACCTCCCAGCAATGAAAAGGAACAAAGTCTTTTCAAGATCAAAGTCCAGGTGACTAAAACAAAATAAAACAGTTTAAAATAAAATAAAGCATAAGCAACAAAACCTACGCATGAATTCTGTTACAGTGTGAAGGGGACTGGGAAAGATAAACATGTACTATAACAATACCATTTTTTCTTTAATAGAGATCACTAAAATAACATGCTAATATTCTTTTTTTAAAAAATATCTTCTTTTTTATTAGCCCTGGCTGGTGTAGCTCAGTGGATTGAGAGCGGGCTGCAAATGAAAGTGTTGCAGGTTCAATTCCCAGCCAGGGTACATGCCTGGGTTGCAGGCCATAACCCCCAGCAACCGCACATTGATGTTTCTCTCTTTCTCTCTCTCTCTCTTTCTCTCTCCCTTCCCTCTCTAAAAATAAATAAATAAAATCTTTAAAGAAAAGAATATTCTTTTTTAGTAATTGTATTTTTTTCATGTCCATTTATCACCCTGATACCCTCTTCCACCTCCATCCACCCCTTACATCCCCCCATAATCAACATACCCATAAAAATGACCTCGAACAAAATCTTGTATCCTAGCCTTGTACATTGCATGTAGATTTTGAAACTCATGTACTGCTGAAAATTTCTTAACGTTCAAGCCATTTGGAGTAATTACATCTGGGAAAGCAAAAGTGAGAACTTTATGAAAATGCTCTTCTGAGAGAAGGTACCATTGTAGAAAAACAGTATATTTAAATTTATAAAGTTAGATTTTTATTCCCATTCCTAGTTCATGACTATCATAGACTTCAAAATTCATACATTTTCACAATAAATTGTTGAGGTAGGAAATCAGGAGTACCTGACTGAAATAACCTTGGTATAAAATGACACAGTATAATTAAAAGCAGTAATAATGATTATTATAGTTTTATTGCTTACTGTGCACCAGGCGCCACTCCGCGACGTAACTCATTTAATCCTTGTAACAACCAGTGGAGTAGGTGTTCTTATCTGCATTTTCAGAGGCAAAACCTTTTCCCCCTCAACTGTTTCATGCTTTTTTTCTTTGTTTTAAACAACATTCTCACACTCTCCTGTCATTTAACTGAAGATCAGTGACAATCTCAGGGCTAACAGTTACCAGGCTTTCTCTTCAGCATGTGTTCCGCCTCTATCGCTGTTATTTCCGAGACCGTGGCGAACACGTGGGCGCAGTGGACCGCGGCCCGCTCCATGCAGTACCGGTGATAGATCTGCCTCTCCCCGGCCTCTTTGTCTATGTTAAACTGTCCAGAACAAAACAAAACACGAAAACAAGCACAGACACATTTGCTTACATGGATTTGTCCACACAAGCAAAACGAAATCACATATTTCTCCTATTGTGTTCCCTCCCACAAGGCTATGTAAAATTTAATGGACACAAAAAGAAATTATAACGGTTACTAAACCCATTACTAAGTGCATAGCTACTTGTGCATTAAAAGGTGCTGTTTACTTCATTTTTGCTTTACAACGGCTATTTAACCCTCTGAGTAAATGTATTTCCACTCTGTTATAATCACATAGAAGTCTTGATTTTTTGTGGCATTTTAGTCACACACTTGCTTATCCCACGTTTTGTAAATATTGAGCTAATTTCTTTCCCTAAGGTCCTTATCATATTTGTACCCATAAACAATGAAATAAAGCCGAATTAAGCTTGATAGCAAAAATAAAGATACTTATTATTATCTTTAATTCACTGAATGGAAACCTGACAGAGAAAACAAAATGCTTTTCCAAGGGTATAGAAATCCTACCAATATATAATTTCAAGAGTATAGTCACTTTAATTAGATAGTGTGTTAGATTGTGCAATCATTCATTATTCTGGGTGTCTTAAACAAAAACATACCATAAGCTAAACCCCCACAACTAAATAGTTGGCAACAGGTGTGGGCTTTTGCCATGTGGCTTAGTTGCTGCATGTAACGTCTCAGATGGCTGCAAATGGAAGCAGCGGCGTCTAAGGGAGAGAGCTGGATAGTTTCTGGCATTGTGTCAGCAATAGGCTTTTCAAGTGAGAGGCTTTTCAACACTATGTATCAGTCACTCTTCTAAGCAGGATATCATATTTAACCCTTATAAACCACCAACACATACTTTGTCTTCATTTTATGGAGGAGGAATGGAAACTTTTAAAGGTTAAGAACTTTCTCCAGGTCACATTCCTATCACGCATCGTAGCGGAGCCCAAAACTGATCCAAATCAGCCTGACTCCAAACTTGTGCTCTCGTCTGCTTTTTTACCATTTAGACTCTCACTGGATCAACAAGTCAGTCCCCAAAACTGCTACATCGCACAGGGGAAAAATACTAAAAAAATATTTATTAGATGTTTCTAAAGATTAGACAAGGAAATTCTTAGAATATTCTTTCTTGGCTGACTGTAATGTTTGGAACTATCTCTCTGATAATGTTTGAATGAGGTCTCTATGAGGTATCCCTAGATCAGTACAAGTTTTTCTTCAAAGCTTTATTTGGCTGGTTGCATTTATTCAACCAATTCTCTCATTCAACCATTATTTGAGTAATTCATATGTTTCTCTTACCTTCAAAGAGCTTATAAATTAGTGAGAAAATGGGTAAAAATTAGGCAGAAATGAAGAAGTGCCAATAAGGTATAAAATCAGAACAGGAGAGGGAAAATGATCTCATACTATTACAAGAGAACCATGAGTTGTTCATCTTTATATCTCTGGGCTAATTAGATAACTAAAATGGTATTTGGACTTGGACATGAAAGTTTGATTTGAAGAAAGTTTATTTTAGGCTGAAAATTAGTTACCCTAAAGAATAAGTATTGGGTTGGCCAAAAAGTTCATTTGTTTTTTTTCTGTAAGATGTCTCTAGTAGCTGTTAGTTGTCTTTAACTTCATTCAAAACAATTTTGTGAGGTTGTGTTCTAATGGCTGTCATCAGCATGCATTTAAAAAATTATCAAAATTTGTGAATTTTTGTGTAGTCATTTTAATATTGAAGATGAAAGAAAGTAAGCAACATTTTCAGCATATTATGCTTTATTATTTTGAGAAAGGTAAAAATGCAACTAAAACACAGAAATGATTTGTGCAATGTATAGAGAAGGTGCTGTGACTAATCAAGCATGTCAAAAGTGGTTTGCAAAGTTTCTGCTGGAGATTTCTTGTTGGATAATGTTCCATGGTTGGTTGAAGTTGTTAGCAATCAAATTGAGACATTAATTGAGAACAATCAATGTAGATGTGGGAGATAGCCAAAGTACTCAAAATATCCAAATCAATAAAATTATTAGTGAAAATGAAAAAATGCATCTTTTACTTTGTGGAAAAAAGATGGACTTTTTGGTCAACCAGATGTTATATATAAAATCTTATGGCATGTGCAGAAAATGCCAAAATGTCTGATGTGAGGATGGCTTTGGGTGTAGAATGTAAGAGACATAGTAAGTCAATATGCTGGTAGGATATAATAGGGCCAGACCCCAGAATTCCCTGACAATAAGGCTAGGAATTTAGCCTTTGTCCTGTATACAATGGAAAGACTGAATGGACTTGCATAGTGATATGGTGAAGACACAGCCTATGTTAAGAAAAATAACTCTGGATATAAGTGTGAAATCTTTCTTATCTCATTGAGCTTTTTGCAAAGAGAAAATGAGGTAATGCTTGTCAAATATGTACAAAAGTGCCTGGCACATAGAAAGTGCTCTTTAGCTATTGTTATCATTTATTGCTACTATTGAGAGTAATATGATTTCATATGTGGGATAGCATTTAATATTTAGACATGTAGAGGTGGGAAGAAAAGTTTTCTAAGTGAGTAAACCAAGTATACAAAGACGCAGGTCTTGGTGAAGACAGTCACTTGTGCATATTTCTGTCGTTCCTGGTTTCATGGGGTCCCTTACCTTTTAGGCCTGTGTTATGCCTAGTGACACCTGTGGCTTCACAGCAACACTGCCTGTTTACACATGTTGTCTACTTTTCCCCACATTCACAATAGTACATTAAAATCTCTGTCTGACAATTGCAGCATCTAAAACATGTGGGCCTGGTTCTTCCAACAGCTGAGCTGCCCTTCTGTACTGCACAGCTTTGTTGTTGAATTCTGGGTAATGTATAAAAGAACAAAGAATGAAGTCAAGTGTGTATTAGCCACTAAAAAACAGTCCAGCAACAGCAGAGGGTAACTCTGTAGTTGAAGCTGATGCATTCAAAACCTGGTCAGAGGAAAGAATTAAAATCTGCCAAACAGCTGTCTATGGCTGCCTGCACAGACTTCTAATCCCAAGAGCACCGTCCTCACATTTCCGTCAGGGAAATTCTGTTGCTGTTAAGAAAAGAGAGGCCCCAAACCTAACAAAACTTTAAAAAAAAACTATTAGTTATCTAATAAGAAAAAATTTGGAAACATCTTGGAGAATTTCAGAAATTCAGATGGTGGCTAAAAAATGGTTGAAATCCCATTTTAGTTAATAAACTTAACTAAAAACTGAAACCAATTTCAAGGTCTTTGTGAATTGGTTAACAACAAAAATGTTTTTACTTAGCAATTATTATTCGAGTAAAATAGTTCTACCTTTCTGCTTTTATAGAAGTTAAATACTTTTATTTTTATTCTCATTTCCCCACCCCCACTCCATGTTTATTTGCCTGAGCCAGAACTTATGGAGACGCATCTTGGGTGTTGTATCAAAGACTAAATGATGACTCATTTCTTAGGTTGAACTTTTAAAAACTTTTCATGTGTTTAATTTGATGTTTTTATGTATTACTCACATTCTAAACCCAGTGTGAGCCTGGGGAGAGGGTCCACTATGGAAAATAATTATAGGTATTTTTTCTGTAAGAAATGATTATGAATTTAACTCAAAATCTAGTTCTTGACTACTTGTTATTTACTAGTCACTCTGCTGGGCAGGATATTTTCTTAGAACAATGGGCTGGGGTCTGACTATGCTTATGTATTTCAACCAGTGAGGGGCTTTAAGCTGGGGAGATATATAATCCTATTTGATGACTGTCTGATATAAAAGCTGACCTTTTTCAAGAGGATGAAGTTGTAATATATAATAACTGAATACTACCATGCATTTATTCATGAAAAGTAAATAATAGCTGATACATATTATTCATTGCTTTTATTAATTATTATATAATGCTCTAAGTACTCTGCAGTAAAATATTTGATATTGCCTCTAATATTTTTTGTTTCACAAAAATCAAAGTCTGCTCTTCTCCAGGAAACGTGATTTTTGAGCTTATCACAGATCACTGGTTTGCCCTTATTAGTCTACTGCGATATCATATGGCACTGGGAAATTTCCCTGGTCTCCTGACTTTCTGAATCCCTTGGTGACTGTATTTTAAATGTACATCTTATGTTTACAATGTTCCTTTACGATAGCTGACCTTTTCATAGGTCAGCTCTTATCAGGACCCTTCATTGCCTTGCAAATGTTAGTGAGTCAGAAAAATTGTTCCTGCATTCAGTGTCAAAGTGCCTTTGAGGCAGTGGGATAACTTTTACAGCTGTTATCTGAATATAATGTGTGTGTTACACACACGCAAACCACACATCCTGTTTCATAGAGTCCTAGCCCTTTTTTAAACTGGGAAGTCTTTAGAAATCAACTTTCCAATTTCCTAATGTTCCCAATAGTAAAACAGAAACCTAAAATGGTAAATTGATTTGATTGGCAAGGTAGATACCAAATCTGCAAAATGCCTGACTTTATGGTATGCGCATGCTTTGTTGATATTATTGACATGTGATATAAAAGCCATACTTTAATCTGATTTAATTGGTGAAAAATAGAAGGAAGAAGTCAAAGCTGAATGACTTTGGGTCATCAAATCGGGCAGTCTTCTCAATAAGCAGACATAATTGTTTGGTTGTCAAGGACACACATCCTTCTTTTGAACAACTTCTGTCTTATTTGACCCCAACAAAAACTCCACTTACACGTGGCAGGGTCACAGGAGAAACCTGACCATTCATACACTGGGATAAAGGAGGCAAGGCTCATGGCACAAGCTGTATGTCTAGGATCACAGTTCTCTACTTGCCACTCAGAACTGTGTGTGGATTCAGGATCCTCACAGTAACTCCCGTGCTCCGGGGTAGACAGGAGCCCCACCTTGTGTCACAGAGCTTTCTCACCACCCCCCACCCCCCACCATGGCACTTTGGATCTTGGATCTATTGTCCCAAAGTAGACACACATAGTCTCTCACTGCTCTACTCCACTGCACTCTGAACAAAGTTAAGCTCTCTGAGCAACCTGTCACCCAGGTGCGCCTTTGTCATGAATACTGATTAGTTGAAAGGGCATTTCTGCCATGTGGCTGGCAGATGAAATGTCAAGATCAATACTTCTCATCCTTCAGCTTCAATGATCAGGGAAAACGGTGGTGAGGGAGAAGGTGGTAGGACCATTTACCTTATCAAGATGGTTATAAAAATCAATGTTTGCTGCACAGAGATACCGCCCAAGCAGTGTGGCATGAGTAGTAAAAATTGTAGCAATAGGAAGTTTCCGGGCTCGAGAAAGAATCAGTCCAGTTCCAGCCTGCCATTCGTGGAATTGGGCAATGACATGTTTACCTTCTGCATGGTCTGTCACCTACATCGGAAAAGAAGCGTTTAGAAAAGTTAGTGAAGCTCGATCTTGCCCATGGCCCACAGCAGAAGGAAAGTTACTATGCCTGTAAATTTTAGCACAATTTAAAAGGATCTAAATATGAAACATTTAGATTTAGCCAGTGTGTTTTATAGGATTCAGTGGCATATTCACAAGTGTGAGCAGTCCTCACACTTAGTGTACATCAGGTCACCTGGAGGGCTTGTTAAGCATTGACATCTGGGGCCCATTCCCAGGTAATTTAATTCAATGGTTCTGGGCAGGGAGGCAAGAATTTGCATTTCTTACAAGTTTACAAGTGAGCCTGCTACTGATGGTCTGAGAAATGCCCTTTGAAAACTACTGACTTAGGCCAAATCCTCTGTGTTTTAAAGTGTCTGCTCTTTGGAAAGTTCTTCACAGCTATGAGCAGTTGCGCAGGTCAACAGTGCTGCAGAAACAGGGCTGGCTCCAGAAGACCCGTGAAGTTTTTTCAGTGTCTTTGTTTTCCCTTTAGACCAAAGACAATAGGTTTCTGGAACTGCTTTCCTTTAGGGGAAGTTGGAGTTCTTATTTTCCTGCTTCTCTCTGCTCTATTCCCTTCCACCGAAGGGGTGTCCTCAGGCATTCACACACATGCACACATGCACCATGGAAGGCTGGCATGAGCCTCAGGGAGGCAGTTTGCAGAGAAAGAGTTGTTGACACTAACAGATGCTAGGACAAGAGTTCATGCTTGCCATTAGACCAGATCCACTGGTACTCTCACCCTTCTCCTATTCTGTCATCCACACAAAGCAATAGGCTGGCTTCTGCATCCTCTCCTTTGCTTCAAGGCACCCCATCATAGCTACTGGAATAGGACTTTATCAGTAAGAAAGACTGGCTGAAGGGAGCACACTCCCAGCATACAGTTGTTCTGGGACTTGTCCTTAGACCACACCCCCACTTTGCTAGGGGTGCTCTATCTTTACCATCTAATTTTAGGTTAGGCATCATCATCTTGAGGTGCTACAAAGAAGGCTAAGGCTCTTACTGCCATGCTTTGAGGACTTAGGAGAGTGTAGGCTTGGCTTGTTTAAAAAAGACCAGTTTTTAATATTCTTTTAAAAATATTTCACCTATGGGATATTTCACTGCTACGGATTCCTTGGCACCTACTGGGATTGCTCCAGCCCCAAGCTAGTGATGAAAACATCTAAAAGTCACTGTAGTTACACAAGTACTCATATGTAAAGAAGCCAAATATTGCAAGCTATTTTCTATTCCCTTGGTTCTAGAATTCATATACACAGTGCATGATGTATACTATTTTTTCTGGCATATATATTGTTTACCATTTATGTAGCAGGCAATATAAGTGGATTTTTATACACATCATTGGTTTTAAACCTGACATAATATAAATATTAATAAGCATTAATATTACCCTTTCTAAAGGTTGGTATTTAGTTTGAGGAACGCTGAACATTGTTTCAGAAATGCACTAGGACAATCAGTAATGGCATCATCTCAAAATTCACTTAATCTAAAGATCATGGGATCATTGCCTGGCAATGCTGGGCCCAGAATTCAATTGTGCTACTCCTCTGTTGTCTGACTGTACAGCAAACTGTACCTCTTTTAAGAACCAGGCAGTTAAAGATCCAAATATCAGCATATCATTGGCTTCTCGGTCGTGATAAGGGATGCCGACACTGCATGCTTCCCAGAGGTCACCCTTCCACCTGTCCAAATTCCAAGCCGAAGACCCTATGTCAAAGAGCACCACGTAAGGACTCCCTTCAATCAGCCATCTTCCAAAATGTACCTGCCGTACAAAGAACACAGAGTCACGTGGTCATGCTGGGTAATGGAAGGGAGGAAAGGTATTTGTGCTCAGAAGATGTAAGCTGTATTTAGAACTCAATAGCAAACTACATATGTTACACAGAAAACCATAGTGATACACAAATATCTGATACCTCCAATATCTGACACTGGAGCCTGAATATGGAATGGGCTTGCATCCACTCACCTAAAATCTCCAAGTTTTTACTTTTTATTAAATGTGGTCATTTAAAAAAAGCATCTAGATCATGTCATTGATCCTATGATCTTGAGCTCATAGTTTTATGATTTAATATCACAGTATATGTTTTATGATAGTCATAAGATGAACTGTTCTGTATCTTTAACAACTTGTAACTGCATATAATTTCTACTGTCACTTATTTTCCTTTATGCAACAGGACTTCAAGTATTTCCTGCCAGAAAAAGGTTTTTTTTTCTGTTGATAAATATGTATGATTTCTCTTATTCCTACTATTAAAAAAATGTGACTCAAAGTGTTTCCCAATATGGTGGCTGCCAGAAATCTTAAATATATTTCCTAAAATACATTATCTTGTGTAATCTAGCATAGCAGCTCAAAGTCTAATCCTATTACATTCTTCAAACTGACTGTCCATCAGTTCAACCATTAATTCAGTCAATTGCACAATTACCTCCAAGACTTTCATTAATTTGCCCCATTGCCCAAATACTGAAATTAAACAATGCTGACTCTTCACCTGTGAAACTTTCTGCACTTTCACTCAGGCTGCTGATTGCTGCTGTGGAAAGTCACAGCAGTGTATATTTGTGACACCAAAAAGTCAGGATAATACATCAAAAGGGTCCAGGAATCCTTTATCTATTGGTTAAATGCTTTTTTAGAACTTCTTCCTTCAAGTTCTTTTATTTTAACACTTGCCTTCTAACTTTCCTAAGATGACCTTTAACTCCTGCTTCAGTAAGATCATCAAAAAACACCAAATGAGAACATACTGAATTCTGCATTAACTCACCTCTATTTGCATTCATCCTGTACTCCCTGTGTAAGTGAAAGCAGGGAGGAATGATCCTCCCACTCCCACTCTCAGTGACCTCACTTTCTTCAATTGTCCATTTCTTTTGAACTTTCACCTTCTCCCTGTGTACTAGATACTGCTTTTTGGCATATAAATATTCTCAGGTCTCACATTTAACAAAACACTAATTCTCAAAACCATGTCACTCTGAAAATATTTAATGTATCATTCCTTTTCATAGAAAACTTGCCCTGGCTGGCGTAGCTCAGTGGTTTGAGCGTGGGCTGCAAACCAAAGCATCGCAGGTTCGATTCCAGGTCAGGGCACATGCCTGGGTTGCAGGCCATGGCCCCAGTGGGGGCCACGTGAGAGGCAACCACACATTGATGTTTCTCTCTTTCTCCCTCCCTTCCCCTCTCTAAAAATAAATAAATAAAATCTTAAAAAAAAGAAAAACTCATAACCACAATATATATACTTTATTCACCATTCATTCATTCCTTAACCCACTGCAATCTGATTTAACCGCTCCTTCCTTTGAAACTATATTTAACAAGGTTACCACAAATGACCTTAATGTTGCTAAACCAAAATGACCCTGGTTCAATCTTTGGCTGATTTAGTTCCTCTTTCACAAGTGAAACTCACTTCTCCCTTGTTTTAACATCACTATTTCTGTTGTGATGGCAAAAATCATCAGAAACCTAGTAGCTTAAGCCCTGGCTGGTGTAGCTCAGTGGATTTGGCATGGGCCTGTGAACCAAAGGGTTGTTGGTTGGGTTCCCAGTCAGGGCACACGCCTGGTCACAGGCCAGGTCCCCAGTAGGGGGTGCACGAAAGACAACCACACATTGATGTTTCTCTTCTTCTCTTTAAAAAACAAATAAATAAAATATCTTTTTTAAAAAGAAACCTAGTGGTTTAAAACAACATAAATTAATTATGTTACAAGTTTGGGGGTTGTAGTGTGAAATCGGTTTTATGGGTTAAAATTAACATGTTAGCAGACTTTCATTCCATCTGTAGTCTCTAAAATAGAATCTATTTTCTGGTCTTTTTCAGCTTCTAGAGATCACTTGCATTCCTTGGTTCACGGTCTCTTCTTCCACCTTCAAAGCTCATTGTGCCAACTTCTGTGTCCATTGTCACATCTCCCCTTCAATTCTGATTCTACTGCCTCCTCTTATAAGGATGCTTGTGATTACATTGGCCCACCCAGATAATCCAAGGAAATTTCCTCATCTCAAGACCCTTAACAAAATCACATCACAAAGCCCTTATGCTATATAAGGTAACATTTTCCTAGGTTTTGAGGATTAGGATTTGTACATCCTTTCTTCTACATCACTATCTGTGCTTCTACTTCTGCCATCTCTGATTTCTATTAGTGTACATGCTCTAACCTTGACATCCCAAGGTTTGGCTCAAAACTTTTGCTCTTAGTCCATAAACTTCCACTGAATAATGCTATCAACACCAGTTATATCAACCACAATTTAGATACAAATGACTTCCCCAGAAATATATTTACCTTATGCCTTCTACTGAGCTCCAAACCTATTATACTATTAGATATTTTCCTAGGATCTTTGCAAGATGCCTCAAAAATGTACTTATTTTAAATCAAGTTCATCATCTTTCTCACAAACCTGCTCCTTTTTGCTTAGTAGATGAATGGTTTTCTCTTGTGAGTTAATGTAAATGGCCTGATTTTCCATCCCAGTTTGCTAAGACTTGTCAAATGAAGTGTCAGTCAGGTGCCTTTACCTGGCAGCCATGTTTGTTCATTGTGTCCACTGCTCTTCTAACAGCCTCATTAGCAGGTTCACACTGTTCCACCTGAGTCTTCATATTTTGCTCAAAATAGGGACCAATCAGGAAATAATTGTCTCCCCATTCATCTGCTGTTACTCTGGCCTTTGTCTGAATCACAGTATAGATGCCACCAACTGTTAAAAAGAAATGTTTTGTTATCATTCAGGTTAATAATTCATTTTAAGTGATAAAGGTGTGGAAGTGAGTTCCCATTTTTAAGTAAGTATTTCGGATCTATCAAGCATGAGGGTTTATTTAACTTTCTAAGGGAACTGTTTTAAAGGACACTAACAAACAGTTGAGTGTTCAATTCATGCATATTTTAAAGCCCCTTCTGGGTGCAGTCAGAGAGTAGCAGGTTCACAGCAGCAGAGCAGTACCAACATTTCAAAGGAGTCTGAAGGGACCATTGGAATGAAGCATACTTGGTTTAATGCTCTATCCACATTTAAGTGTCAAAGTTGGGGCAAACAGCCATTGTCACTCCATGTGCCTTCAGCCACGTAGTCACCATTCACCCCTTCTCTTGCAGCGGTCCAAGAAGGGGCTAAAGTGTATCCAAGTAACAGCCACTGCTGAAATCATGAGCAAGTCTCCCAAGCTAAAGAGCCACTTCCCTGCTAAGGTACCATGTTAAGGTACTTCTGCCAGGAAGAAAGGGCTAATGGATTTTGAAGGGGAACACATGGCCCAGCTCTCATGTCAAACACAATGATGCAAATACAAATTTCCATATGGCATATCACATTTTCCCCTCTGGTATTGTGGCCACCACTATTAAAACACAAAGCCAAATATATATATATATATATATACTATTGGAAAATCTATATACCTTTGGATCTAGCATGTCCACATGTAGAAAATTATGCTGGAGGATATAATGTAGAAAATTATAACCAAATGAAATTAAACAATCTAACTCACTTAACCTAAGGCTCAATTAGCTCATCTGTCCAATGGAAGTAAAATAGTAGTTAGCTCAGGCAAAAGAGCAGGTAGGAGCAACAGTATTAAAAACTAAGCCTCATTAAAAAGTTAATCTTTGAGTAAGTGCTAAAAAGGATGAAGAAATAAGGCAGGTGGATATCATGTGGAAGAATTTTTTTCAGGCAGAAAGAAGGGTTAGAACCAAGCCATGAATAGGAGCAATAGTGTGCAAATGAAAAGTAATGGGCATTTAATATTGAGGTACATAATCAGGCAGGAGGAAGAGAGAGGGTCAAGAAGAAGACTTTCAGTAAACTTAGGCTATTTCTTGTGCTGGCTCTAAACGATCATCTCACATGAGAAAATGAAAACAGCCTGAATCAATTTCTTGAGCAATATTTTGTGCTCGGAGCTATAAACAAGGGTACAACTCAAGAAATTATGTGGGAAATCCCAAAGCTAATACAGATCCCAGCACCAATCTTCAACTCCATTTCCAAGAGCAAATTTTTTTAATTGAGAAAAAAACTTCCTATTTTTTACTATAGTTTTCTATAAGGTATTTTAATTTATCAGGGTACAGGGTTTGATAGTTACTCTCTTAAATTTCTTATTCCAGTAGCTTAGACTTTAAATAATAAATCTGATTGATAGTCACAATCTATGGTCAAAAGGTAGAATGGCCACCTGAGAATTTTTCTTTAAGCCTGAGCCATTCAAAATATACTTTTTTGGTAAATTGCCTTTTGAGGAATAGTAAAAAAATGCTACTACTACTATATCATGCTAACAGGATTCATTAATTTATAACACAGAAGAGCTAATGTAACTCCCAAAATGTAAATATTATATGCAAACAATTTTTATACGAGCCACATAAACTTATTATCCTTAAAAACTTCATCTTTAAGAAAAGACTTTTTGACTGAGCAGTCTGATAACGAGGGCTCTATCATAGCTCAGACAGCAGGTGGTGAGGACAGCAGCGCGAATGCAGCAGGAGGAGCTGCACCTCCTGCAGGTGCCTAGACTGGGGCAGGACAGACAGGATTCACCTGTCCATTCAGCAGTGAACTTGAGCCTACTGGAACTGATGCCAACATTAAGTGCACCTAAATATTTGCCCCAGTTTCAGAAAATTTTATAAAGCAAAAAAAAACTATTTCTTGAGGAAAAACAAATTTAAAGAAATAGTTTGCAAAAGCAACTAAAGAGAACTTTTCTTTAAGGTGTGTCATATTTTAGTAGAAATTTAAATATATATAAGCTATATATATATAGCTTGTGTGTGTATGTATGTGTGTGTATGTGTGTGTGTGTATATATATATGAGTATATATGTTTTATTCAAATAATTTGCCCCTTCTGCTGACTTGTTTCCTTCATCTTCATCTTATCAGGGAGGATATGTCATCAGGTTCTGATGGCACACATGTATCAAATGCCTTATTCATATTTCTATTCTTGAAATCTCTTATTTGCAACTATGGAGATCTTGTCCAGAGATTTTAGAACATCCTTGTTTGTTGCATTACATGTTTCAAATTCAAATACACTTGAGTAAATGAGAACACATTTTTATTTGCTAAAGAGCATAAGGGAGAAGGGATTTTTTTACTTGAAAAAATATGGTTAGTTTTGGGAATTGATATGTAAAGATAAACATAGTTAATTAACCTGCTACTTCCTTGTCCTATTTGAGGACTTCAGGCTTGATATAGGTAGTCCCCAAGTAGCCATACAGTATTTATAAATACTATGGCTATGTCCTTTCAGTCTATCAGGAATAAAAATGTAAAATTTAAAAATAAAAGTCCATCCCATATTGGTTGAGGGCTGATTGTAAATAAGTCTCTCCCTCCAGATGTCTCTTCTGTGGAGGGGAGCTCTTACTGCATTTCATATGCCCAAGCTCCAATTTAGCCTCTCTCTGTCCTTCCCATATATCTACATGCCAACTAGTTTCCATTGATTCTTACTCTGTTTACCAGAAACTCCTCTCTTGGCATGCTAATGGGAGGTGAGTGTGACAGCATAGATATAAGGTCATTCCTATGTTCTAGTATGAGCTTTAAACCAGAGGTTCACCAACACATATTTTTAACAAGTTGTTGTTTTACCAAAGTGTAGGTCACTGCATTTGGACTAACTCTTCACTTTCAAACATGTACTTTGGATTTTATTGATCTATATATTTTTTTCTGAAACAACATGGGAGCTATCTTTAGTATAAGGGCAAAGTATCAAGCCTTTCATAAGAAATAGACAATGAGCCCCCATGGCAAATACATCATTGAGGTAGCTCCAACCCCAAGTCAGAAACACTGCTGATGTCGCTAAAACCAGGATTCCAAAGCAGTATGGAATGTGGACAGCAGCCAAGGGGAAGCATTTTACATATGCATATAAATTAGGAATATCTTCACTATTTTTAAATGTTGAAAAGTTACAGAATTTGTAAGTCATATGACTTCACCATGCATGGGTAAGCCTCTGACTCTTCTGTCTCAAGATGCAGTTCCAGAAGCAGGGTAATCATTATACAATTAGAACATCATTCTTTGAAGCAGCAGGGCTGGTAAAAAAAAGAAAGTAAAATGTGTCTAGTGACGATGGTCAACAAATGTTTGGGCCCCCAGTGCTTTCCTGGGTCTGTGGTTGAAATCAAAGCAGCCGCAGTCTCAGGCAGCAGGAGGTGAGTGCTTAGAGCCAGAACACGTGCACACCCCACCTTGATTACACCATAGTGTTGACCCCATGTGCCATACAGGAGGGGTTCAGACATGGCAATCTACATAAAAAGGAAGTGGGGAGAAAAGGGCTCCTCTTAAAGCTGTATGTACACCAAGCATGGTTTTTCCATAGATGGAGGGTTTTGTATAGTGTAGTTTGAGATGCCACTGATAGCCCCCTGCACATCCACATCTCAACCCCAAACTACTGTGTCACTCATGATTGTCGCAACCCTGTTCCATACCTTTTTGTCCACTTTCTGCTTTTGTGTTTAAAAACTGACTTATGGAATCACTCAAAGTCAAAGTCAATCTGATAATGAATGATCCCACATACTCCTTTTATGAATAAATTTTATATTAACATTCATTGTTTGTGACAAGGTCCATTAAACTCTGTTTAATGATCCTAAATATCTTCAATATGATAATTGATCCATCATCTACAATGATTTGGGCAAGTCTAGGCAGGGGAAAGGATTGTAGTAAGGATTGAGGTTTGCTTCAAGCCCCAATCTGGTTGTAGCCCTGGCTCTCTGCAAACACGTGCACACACTATGCAGTCTTTGAGCACCTGCTGCTTTTTCTTACACTCACCGCATTTGACTGTAAGTGCATGTTCAATGCCTGTCTTCCCACAAGTCTGTAGATTTTGGAAGACTGGGGATCAATTCTGCATTGTTAAACTCTATGCTCCTCATCTCCCAGTGCCTGACATCTAATAGACACTTGATGGGTCTCTATTGAATAATAAATGGAAGAATGAATAAAAGCAATAAACTCAAGGGTACTATGAACAAGGAAAAAAGTTATCTTGAGGCCTGAAAATTAGCATCCAATAATTTAACTATGACTCTTTCATTTGTCATATTTAATACATTTTCATTGTTTGTTGGCAAAATTTTGGCGCTAAAATTTTTTTCCCTCTCAAAGAAATCTTTTGTTTTCTTGGATATAAACACATTTCCTGTTTGCCACCACAAACCACTATAAGATGGCTGAAGCATATTACATTCATTCTTTTATGAAGAAACTGATCTTCAGTAAGTTTTAAAAAAGTCTCAGGAATCTATGATCTTTGACTATAAGCCCTATGTTCTTTCATCTATAGAAAATCTCCTTAGGCAATAGGTGTTGAATTTTTACTCTTGTATAGTAATTAAAAAGAGAAGTGGACTCAGTGGGGACCTAACTGCCAGTCCCAACCCTATAATGTACTTGCTCATTAGTACCTGTAGATGTCTATTTCATGGATAAAACAGAGGAGTTGGGTTCATGATCTCTAACCTGCCTCATATCGTGGCTATGAACCAGAGGGAGATACAACTTCAAAGTAAAATTTAAGAAGAATCTATGGTGTCAACACATTGTGAGAGGTAAACACAGTAATTGTCCATTCATGTAGTCACCTCTAAAAATCAAACTGTGATAGATATTAAAATAAAGATCAGTTGGGGATGATATCAACTTGGAAAAATCACAGGGTGGGTCACCTCTTAAGACAACAAAATCCCCTTTCTCTTGTGTGGGAAATGAGAGAAAAGAAGTATCAAAGGCACTATAGAGGTTGAAAATAAATGTACTCATTCCTTCATTTAAAAGGAAAAATCCCCCTAGCTGGCATAGCTCGATGGATTGAGCTCGGACTGCGAACCAAAGCATGGCAAGTTTGATTCCCAGTCAGGGCACATGCCTGGGTTGCAGGCCACAGCCCCCAGCAACCACACATTGATGTTTCTCTCTCTGCCTCTCTCTCTGTCTCTCTGTCTCTCTCTCTCTCACTCTCTCTCCCTCCCTCCCTTCCCTGTCTAAAAATAAATAAATAAAATCTTAAAAAAAAATAAAAGGAAAAATCCCTCTGAGCAATTTCTATGTTCCAGGCACTGTACCAGGCCCTGACATCGGCATGTGTGTCATCAGCATACAAGATCCACAGACAACAGTTTGCCCCAGAGTGTGCCCAGCCCCGGGAGACTGTTCCTTAAGGTGTGCCACATGGAGAGAACAATGGGAAGAAGAAAGGGCTCTCTGCTCGGGTGCTGGAACTCACGCAGACATCTCGGAACTGTTCCCTGGTGCTAACAAATCCCTTCAGTTTTTACCACCAACAAACTATTTTTGGGTGCCTGCCTACTCTGCAGAGCAAACATTTATTTAAAGGCACAATCTGAGATTTATGTGTAACAGAGATGGCACTGTTCCCAGGAACATGGAGCATATTTAAAAACACTGAGACTGGAAAAAAGAGCATTTAAAAACAGATATTTATAAAATGCTTCACTTCTCCTTAATAACGGTTCTGTCCTCTTTGCGTCCTCCTCACTTTGTTTTCTTACACTCACTCAGTGCATTTCTACATAGGCGGAATTGATTTTTAATTTTGACTTTATGAATTTTATGAAAGCATTACATGAGAACTTTGAACAATTGGCATAAAGTGAATGTCTGAACAGATGTCAAATATAATTCTGAGGTTGTGCTGGCTCCAATTTAGCCAAAAGGGAGTCATGTATCAGACGCATGTTTTCATTCCAGAGCCTTTGAATTCCACAAGTTACCAGTTCCTTTCACCCTTCAATCACTTTGCTTGGTTTTCCATGACCCTGAAGAATTCAACCTTCAAAACTGACTTTTTCTTACTAATATTCCCTCAATAGTCTTCACACTTTTAAACTAGAGAATATCAATCCATAAGAAATTCCTTTTTCATAGTTTTACACATACCTTTCTTATTAAAATCATTTAGGTTTAATACTTCATTTTGCCTTCTCTAATCCAGCATAAATGAGATTATACCTTATTAGGAAATTGTTTTAATTTTCTTAATTTGATTTCCTCTCTTATTCTATAATTTCTATGTATATATTATTGAAAAATTAATTTTATTCTTAATAGGAGCTCGATCTTATGCTTTCTGAGCTGCTAAATTAAATCTTTAATCCCAAACTGATCTTGAATTATTAGAAACATTATGAAATATTTCACATAATTGCTATCAATATATGCAGTTAAAGTTTCTACTTCATCCTGACCAGGTACGGTTCTTCCTAAAATAAAGTACAAAATTTTGTTTTCTGCTGGAAAAAAATCATAAAACCAAAAAAGTAAATAACTTTTTATTTCTATTTTGCCATAACACAGATTTCAAATTTTAATTTAAATGCACTTTCACTGGCAAAGATGAATACTTTTACCTTTCTCTCCCTTCAGCACATAAACACAGGTCTAAGTTTTTATTGACTGTTGAAATAGACACGGCTAAATGTAAACTTATATAAGGAGTTTGAATACCTGTTAACTCACTGGCAATTCATTTCATTAATTCGTTCTCCTAATCTACATTGTTCAGCAATCTGTCAAATATCCACCCTCAGGGCCAGTACAAACCTTTATTGGTCACTTCCCAAGCAACTTCAAAGAGCAGTAAATCCTCCACGGGAAGTTCTTCAACTTCCCACTGGGGAAGCCCACTGAGGGATGTCACCGACAGGGATCGGCCTCTGAGCATTGTTCTTCCGATCCTCTGAAACTGTTTGAATCACTCTTCCAATTAACTGTAGGACTGGTGCGCTTTAGAATCGCAGAGGTTCAAGGCTGGTAGATCTCACTCAGGCTTGGGTAGCTTCTCATAGGACTAAACCAGCAGAACAAAATCTCATGTGCTTTTCAGAGAGCTCCCATTTGAAGGAGGAATTGTCGCGTTCTCTGTGCAGTCTTTCAGGTGGATCTACTGAGGACAATATCTCCAGTCAGAATTTAAATCTACCCAAACAACGCAGAGTTAGCTATCACAAGTCAAGTCCTCAGTCTGGAGTTTAGGCAAGCACCCTCTCCGATAGCGACATCCTCCTAGGCTGATCATGCCCAGACCTTTAGCCCTTGTCCCTTTGACCAAATTCCTAGACTCACAGAGTCACCAATGCTCTTTCATCACTTTCAGTGATCTGAGATCAGCGATTCCCCTTATAAAGTTTTTGAACCATTTCAGGTTCATGTAGAATTGACTGGGGCATATTTCTGTGCTTTCAATCGTTTTACAGTTCCTAAATATAATTCTCTCTTTTGATTCTCATTTCTAGGGCATTAGAAAATTATTCCTCATTTTTTAAATTCTACATCTGCAAATTTAATTTTGAAGGTTAAGTATAGATTTTAGATTCTTTTTTCTTAATTTCTTTTTTAAATTCCCTATGAAAAAATATAAATGTAAATGTGTGTTTGGGTATAACATAAAAAGAATGTAGTTTTGACTGATCAGTGAGTAACAGATCATCATTTTAAAGAGTTGTAATTAATTTTAGTCCTATTTGTACATTTACCACAAATATTTTTGAATGGATAAATAATAATTTAATGTATATAAAAATCTTCAAATATGGGAAAAAATGCAAAATATACTAGGTTCTGGAATATATAACCAGGATCACCTGCTAGTAAATGCCATATATTTGCCTTTTCATATATTTGCATGTAAATAAGTATGTATATGCTAATTTATTTACACACACACAGACACATTCTAAATTGTTCCTAAATGGAATAATAGCATTCACAAGCATACTTAATTTTGAACTACAGTACTTTATAGATTTAGCTTACAATCAATATTTTTATATTGTCATTCTGTATAACAGTAGAACTGAAATTCACAAAAAACATCCTTCACATTAGAATCATAAGCAGAATTATCTTAAAATAATGTGTTACTTGTTTATACTATTACTATTTTATTTTTAATATTTATTAGTAGTAGTATTATTTGCAACCTTTTGTTAGGTCTTTAACCATTTTTTCTACAGTTGGTCTTATTGACTTAAGCCCTATTTTAAAATAGATAAAACCATATTTCATTGTCTAATATTAATAAACCAATGTGAATCAAGCAAATTAAATGGCTTTCATGATTCCTGACATAGTTGATTCTTATCTTTCCCTATGAAAATAAATTTAGGTATATAGTTTATTATTCATTCAATTGGTAAGAAAAAAGTTATATGGTTAATAAAAAAAAATCAAGCACTAAAATAGTAAAGATATGAGCCCAAATTATCTCAATGACTTTCTCCTTCATGATTTGCTTGTGTTGACATAACCTCTGTGAGTCTTGCAAATAAAAATTCCAATAAAACCAAACAGAAGGGCATACCGACAAGCAGTGAGACTGGGATGGCAGGATGAGGAGAGAGGCATGTTTGTGGTATGTAGTCTCAGTAACCCTGAGATTGGTTGCTCCAGGGAAAATAAGCCCCAGGATAACCAATTCACAACATCCAAATTATACTGTGAAACTTTATTCATTTGTAGTGCCAAATACCTTGTGCTTGGTTTTAAAATAATCATTTTGGGGGCCATGTCAATCTGCCACTTATCAGCTATGTAACCTCAAGCCAATTTCTTAACTAAGTTTTGGTTTTCTTATGAAGATGGGAATAGGACCATTTATATAAAGTACTTAATATAATGCCTAACACAATATTAACTACTTTAGTAACTCTCCCTTTTATTTATAGAAAAAATATAGTGGTCTATCGAAAGCATTCCCTAGTAGTTACTGTTGCAGAGGAAAGGAGTAAAAGGAAGGCTTATTTTTCTTTAAATTTTTGACTATCGTGCCACATGCATGTATTATCTGCTTAATAAATAATTAATTACATTTTGAGAGAAATGACCTTAGATCAATGAAAATATTTCATGACATGTTAAATAAAAATCAGTAACATGTAAAGCAAAATAATTGATTCAGTTTTGTACAAAAAGTATACATACACTCCTACTAGTGATGTACATATAAGACTGAAATAGAAACAAAATTCTTACAATGGTTTCTTTAGGTGGCACTGATAATGATTAATACTTATGTGTTCTCTTTTTCTTAACCGGTATTTTACAAATTTTATGCAATGAATATTTACATATATATTCATACCATACACAGAATAAGTAAAACAGAGAGTTCAATCAGATGGCCTCATGATTACTTCATTCATTCCCACTCTCATCATTTTGAAAATCTTGATTCCTGCCTCTCACTTGGGGCTCTGCCTTAGTACCAGCCCCCTCAGTTACACATCACCCCCTCCCGACTCCTCAAAGTAGACATCTGATCCTATTGTCCCAACATGAGGACACTTTGCCAACTAGTTGCTATTTAGTGGTGAATGCCTTTTTCAAACTTGCTCTTGAGTGAACAAATGTGAAGTAAATGGAACCACATGAAATATGTCCATGGGATATATCTTCATCTATCGATGATATGTGGATGAATCCCCCACTTTCAGGTATACGTGGAAAAAAAAAGACATTCATTTATGCAATTAGATCTGGATGAGAATCAGAAAGTTCTCTGCTTCCCAATACTTTAAATACCCCTGAATACTCCTCTAGGATTTATACTGAAAACATAAATTGGTGAGCTAAGAGCAGAGAGAGAACAGTCAGTCATCCAGACAAACAGAAGTGGGATTTCTCCAACATGGGAAAGGGAATCTCAAAAGTTCCTGATCTCTAATTTCACACTCACACTCACACTATCATTCAATAAAAAAGGGTGAGAGGACAATGTGGAAAAAATGATTTGTATTTGGTTTCCTTGGTAAGTATTCCAGCAGAGGTCACTAGACACATTTAGAAAAACCACATTTTTGTTTTGACATCTTGCAACCATCTTGGAAATCTTTAGTATTTCCAAGACTGTATTACCTCCTCCTGCTTGTCCAAACAGATTCAGTTAATGTATTTATGAGCACCTACTATGTGCTATTATTCTAGAAGATGAAGATATTGCCAGTGAACAGTAGGCAAATTCCTGTTTTCATGTGAACATATAGACATTAATCATGCAAACAAATAAATGAATTATATTATTTCAGGTAATGCTAAGTTTCCAAAGAAGAAAAACTGCAAAATGGTAGAAAGTGCCATTTGATAGAAATTGGTGCTTTAGCTGGAAATGACAAAGAAAACTGGAGGAAGTGATATTTGAATTAAGACACAAAAACTAAGAAAGAGGCAAAACTTGAAGATCTGGGAGGAGACATAGCAATGTCTTTAACACTTACAGGGACAGAAAGAAGACCAATGTGCCTGGAGCCCAGAGCATAAAGGATGAGAGAAAGTCTGGTGGGGAGGAAGGTGTAGGGGAAAGCAGGCAGATCACAGAGAAGCTGGTAAAGAGTTTATGAAGCCAGCATACCAGTCACAAAATCTAGAATGCAAAACTTAATCCATTACATAGGTAATTTCCCATTCCTTCTCAATTTTATAAGAACAACAATGAAAGTTAGTTATTTATCATTTAGTCATTTCTTCTTAAAATGAAAAAGAGTACCTTTGTTTTCCAAGGTGGTATCCCTATGTATTTCATTTCTATGCTCTTACCTATCCACTGTCTATACCTTGTTATGCATGTACTGCTGTTGAAACTATATTTAGGATTATAGGATTAAAATGGAGAATTAAATATTTATAGTAGGTACTGTGATCATAAACTTTGGTTTCATGAAGTTTACATACTAGCAAGAAAAACCAGTATTTAACAAGCAATGAAAGGACTTTGAGGGTGGTGAATCATATACAGGTGCTGTGAGAACATGTAATAATAGATTAATGCAATATAGAATATTATGAATCACCTCTCAATAAAAAGAAATAAAAGGCATCTAAATGAGAAATGAAGAAGTGAAAATGTCACTATTTGAAGATGAATTTTGTTGTATGTAGAAAACCCTAAAGACTCCACCAAAAACTATTATAACTAACAAATTCAGTAAAGTTTTAGAATACAAAATCAATAAGCCAAAATTTGTGGCACTTCTATATGCTAAAAAAGACCATCAACAATGGAAATTAAGAAAAAATTCCATTTATAATTGCATCCTAAGAATAAAATACCTAAAAACAAACTTAATTAATTGAGGGTGTAAAAGACCTGTACACTGAAAACTATAAGACATTGATGAAATAAATTAAAGAAAACAAATAAACGGAAAGATATTCTGTGCTCCAGGATTTGAAGAACTGATATTTTTAAAATGTCCATACTACCAAAAACAATCTAAAGATTCAATGCAATCTTTATCAAACTTCCGGTGGCATTTTCACAGAAATAGAACAAATAATCCTAAAATTTGTATGAAATCACAACCACAAAAGACTCCAATAGCCAAAGCAATCTTGAGAAAAAAGGGCAATGCTACTTCTGGCCAAGATGGAGGTGTAGGTAGACACCCCTTGCCTCCTCGCACAACCAAAACAAAGGGCAACAACAAATTTAAAAACAAAACATAACCACAACTATCAGAAAACCAAACTGTATGCAAGTCCAACAAACAAGGAGTTAAAGAAGAAACACTCATCCAGACCTGTAGGAGGGGAGGAGATGGGTAGCTGGGGTGGAGAGGACTCACAGTACGGCAGTGTTTGGTGGACCAGGCGAGGCAGTGGCTGACAGAGAGGGCAGTCCCACATTTGCGTGTAGATAAAGTGAGAGGTGCTGCTGGGGAGCAAGACAGACCTTGCAACCCAGGGCCCCAGTGTGAGGAAATAAAGCCTCAAAACCTCAGAGTGAAAAAACCTGTGAGAATTGAGGCTGCAGGAGAAACTCCCAGCCTCACAGGAGAGTTCACTGGAGAAACCCACAGGGTCTTAGAACATACACAAACCCACCCACCTGGGAATAAGCACCAGAAGGGCCCAATTTGCTTGTGAGTAGCAGAGGAAGTAACTGAAAGGCAGCTGAGAGCTGAGCAAGCAGTGTTGTTTCCTCTCAAACCTCTCTACAACGTATAGCACCACAACCCAGCCACATGGGTTACCACACCCTGGCGAATACCTAAGGCTTACTACCTAACAGGCATGCTGAGACAAAAAAA